ACCAGCAGCTTCGCAGGGAGAAGTGGGCAGTGAGGGGCTGGGCAGGAGGTCCTGGGGCAGAAGGTCCGGTGACAGAGGTACTTCTTTCACACGGAGAAGACCAGCGACACGGTGGGGAGACTTCAGGGGATGCCAAAGCAGGGGCAATGAGCCAGTATAATTTAATGTTAACACTTATGTGGCCTAACGAATATTCACACACAGGGAGAGCTTGGGGAAATTAATCTTAGAGAAAGATTCCATCAACCAAAAATTAACCATGTGATTTTTTTTTTTTGCCTATACTGTATATGCACCTAAAATCAAAAGCAGAAAATAGACAAATTGGAACTCTTTATGAAATAGATTTGTCCCTTCAGAGAGGTGCCACAGGAGGTCGTGCACGCGTTCCAGGAGCTCACAGCATTTGCAGACATCATTTTTGGGAACTGCCTTCAGAGTCATCCTGTGAGTCATGCTTTAGGGTCAGCTGGTTTGACCACTCATCTCATTCTTCAGATTTGCCTTCAAATAACTTTTGTGTGATTCCAAAGATGAAACCCTCCATCCAATGATTACCCTCTTTCACCCAGCCCGTTTCTCTGTAGGTAGGAAATTTCTTGAACAGTAGAACCAGTGGTTCATCTTTGCCCGCCCAAGCCCTGGCCAGGCCCTTCAGAAATGCTTGGTCACTATTTAGTTCTGTGGTTGTTCCCTTCACTGCACAGGAGTGAACCCTTCCTCTTTCCATCACTGTTGTGTCTTATACACATTGTGAACATCAAAACATTTGCCTTCTCTTTGCTGGCATTTAAAAAAATATATTAAATAGTTAACATTTGTCCCAGAAAGGGAAGGGTTATTCTAAATCTGCACCCACCAAAACCCACAGTAGAAATGCCTTCTGGAAGTAGCATCAACCATTCAGCTTTTTCTGATGGTTGACGTCACAGAGAACAGTCTGTCAACATTTTCCCTTACATTGCTTTTCTTTTGGGGGGCACAGAATGGAGATGAAAAAGCACAGCTCTGGGAGCTGACAGAACTGAGAGCTGGCAGTCAAGGGATTGATTATGTATTCACTTATTTATTACAATTTTTAAAAAAAAATGGCCCAGCTGCTTCAGCTTATGCAAGCTGGGTTGAAGTATTTCACTCGATAGTATTCTCATCTGGTGACTACAATACTGAGTGATTTAATGCAGATTTTATTCAAAACCTAAAAGAAGAAAATCAAAAGTAAGTAAAAAATAATGTTGAGGACTGAAACTGAGATTCACACACTCAAGTGTTTTTGAGAAATGCTCACCTCTTTGCTTTCCCTCCCTGTGGGTTGATCTGTAGCAGCCATACTCTCCAGTGGCGCCTGTAAGAACACCTCACCGGACAGAATCCCCAGTCTGACCTGGGTCCCTCAGGGGACCTCAGAGGCCCAGGCCCAGACCCATTCACCTGTATCTGGTAAAATGTCTCCCCAGTGATTCTGCTGTGGCCCTGTGGCGGAGAATATGCCATCTACAGCCATCCGATCACTGCTGCCCTATGGTTTCTATCTTATGGTTGTCATTATTCCTGATAAATTATGTTTGGTCAAATGATGGACTAACCCCATTCCAATGGTCTTAGACAGAAGTTCATTGGCTCATGGAACTGGAAGTGCAAGGGTGGCTGTGGCACACGATGTGGCTTGGTTAAGCTACTCGAATAGTGTCAACCTCAGGCTTCCCTCATCTCTGGGCTTGACCGCCTCGTGTTGACGATATTCTCAGACAAGCCCTGTTGTGACAGCAAGATGGCTGCCCGCTGCTCTGCCCTCCGAGTCTATCAGAAAGTTAGTTTCTCTTTCTCAACTGTTTGAATACAATTCTGTGACTTGACTCTCTCCGTGGTCCAAATGGGTTCCCAAATAACCACCTCCTCTGTACCAGGCAGGGTTCATTGGTAGAACGCAGAAGCCGCTCTAGATACTTAAAGCAGAAAGGGTTTAATTCCAGCATTAGGTGTTTGCCAAATTGTTGGATGGTCTAAAGCAGCAATATTCAACTGGTGTGCCACGAGAATGTTTAAAACATGCAATACTTGACTAGTCAGGGGCAATGACCTATTTTCCCTTAGATTGTCAAATTAAAAAATGACAACAGCTAACACAACAATAGCTGTCTGGTGTGAATGCCCTGTCTTGAACCATAAATATATAGGTCACAGGGTTGTACCTTTTAGCTACATTGCATAATAAGGTTGTGTCTGATTGGTTATTTTGGTACCAGAAATCCTTATATACAAATATAGGTGCCTGATTTTTTATAAAGTCCCTTCAGAACAAAAAGACTAAGCAATTACTATTATTATTTTTGTAATATAATCAAAATTACACCCATTTTTAATCAGATCAGCAAAACAACATATTTTTGGTGTGCTGCAGAATTTTAGTAATTAGTTTATGTGTGCCATGAGGTGAAATAGGTTGAAGATCACTGTTCTAAAGGAATGAAAGGAAAGGTCAAGTCCACCTGCAGCCCAGGGACTAAGAGTGGGATGAGTCTGGCCGCCCAGAGGAAACTAGGTTGTAATGTAACCACTATACTGGTGCTAGAAGGACAGGTAAAGATTCTGGGTGACAAAACCACAAAATGTCTTCTGTAAGGTATATTTGATGCTTTATTGTATACAAGTACCTCCACCTACGCCACTCCATTTGATTCCCATAAGAGCACCATGGGAGGAAGGTCAATATATTATATTCCCATTTTACAAATGAGAAAGTGCAGACTCAGAGGTTAAAAGTGTGCCCAAATTAATCCCTTACAGCTGGTAAGAAAGAGTACTTAGATTCAGACTCAGTCTTCTGGCTCGAATTCTACTCTTTGGGCTGCAGCGGAATGTGGAGGAAACTTCATTCTGAAACAAAGGTCCCTCGTGTGCAGAGCCCTGTGCCGGAGGACTATGAGGGAAGGCATCCCCAGCTTTCGGCAGCTGTGGGCCAGGTGGGAGCACAGGGGCACGCAGGACCTTGTGCTGAAGTGGAGAAGTGGAGGGAAACCTGCATAAGCACCTTGGATGCTCTGCCCACCTTTCAACTGGTGTTTATGTAAATAATGAAACAGGGAGTTTTGTGTTTGTTTAACGTGGGGTGTTTCAAGATACCACATTTTCATTTTAAATATCTGAATTTCTCCCAAATAGCAATATGATTAGTATTAGCCATTCCCATGTAAATGCAAAATCTTCTCTGATAATAGATCAAAGCAGACCCCCCCCCCCCCAAGCCTTTCCTGTGGGCTGCAAAATGACTGGGTTAGCACAAACCCGATTTGAGTTGCACAGAGCTGCTACCAGCCCTACAGTGAGGACCCAGGAAAACTCCACTGCCAGATCAGCAAGGGCTTCCTGTCCATCGACTCTCAGAGACTTAGACCATCTTAGTGACAGAGATCTCAAAACCAGACTGCCTAGTGTCCTGGGAGCACCACATTGTAAAGAAAGGGGGCTTACTCCAGGGCCAGGGGGGCAGCAAGACTTTGTTCTTGGGGAAGAAGAGGAAGCATTAGGGTCTGTCCTCTGGAGGTCAGACCCTGCAGGGCCCCACGCAGCTGCCATGTGCAGATAGCTCCACCCCACCGGGTAGTGGGGCTGAAGATCAAGTTTGTGATTGAGGAAATTCCTCCTTTCCACATGTGTGGCTGGGTCATCATGCTCCTAGAATCCTTACCATCTGTCTTGGGCTGCTCTAAATTACCCCAGACTGGGTGACTTAAATAAATATTTATTTCTCACAGTTCTGGAAGCTGGGATGTCCAAGATATGTTAGTGGCTTTGGTTCTGGCGAGAGCCCTCTTCTTGATTTGCAGATGACCTCCTTCTTGTGTCCTCACGTGCTGAAGAACAGAAAGCAAACTTTTCTCATAAGACCCTAATCCCATCATGGGGGCTCCAGTCTCCTGACCTAATTAGTTCTCAGAGGCTCCACCTCCTAATACAGTCACAGGGAGGGTTGGAATTTCAATACTTGCACAGAGATTCAGTCCCTAGCACCACCCTGCTATAGGGGAGGCTGGGGTAAGAGCCAATCACTCCTGGAGTCCTGGCCCAAAGTGACCAAGGTGTGCCTTTCTTTTTGTCCTCCACAGCAGGCCCTGATGATATCTTTATGACATTCCACACAGTGAGCTGGTTGGTTCTATTTTCTCCAATTGCTTCATTTTAAACAAAGTTAAGAAAACACTGCTTTTATGGGCTGAATTTTACCTTCTCCCAAAATTCACTTGTTGATGTCCTATCCCCCAGCACCACAGAATGTGACTGTGTTGGGAGGGAGGGTCGTTAAAGGGGGTAATAAAGTTGAGGTAAGGTCATTAGGGGGACCTAATCCAATAACAATGGTGTCCTTATAAGGAGAGATTAGACATGCACAGAGGGAAGACCATGTGAGGACTGGAAGCAGAAGATGCCCACCTACGAGCCAAGCAGAGAGGCCTCAGAAGAAAGTAACCCTGATGACAGGGTTACTTTGTGCGTGTATTGAAATGCCAACCCTCCTTGTGGCCGTATTAGGAGGTGGAGCCTCTGAGAAGTAATTAGGTCAGGAGAGTGGAGCCCCCATGATGGGATTAGGGTCTTATGAGAAAAGTTTGCTCTCTGTTCCTCAGCATGTGAGGACGCAGGAAGGAGGTCATCTGCAAACCAAAAAGAGGGCTCTCGCTAGAACCAAAACCACTAACACATTAATCTTAGACTTCTGGCCTCCAGGACTGTGAGACAATAAGCTGTTGTTTGGGCCACCCTGTCTGTGGTACTTGGTTACAGCAACCCTAGTAGGCTAATACACCTTCCCTTCAGACCAACTGTCACATGATTTCTTGCCTCTGCTCTCTAGCCCTTATCTTAATAGCAGTCCTGATGAGTTGCCCTCCAGACTCAGAGATGGCAATGAAGCCATGACTGGTATGTGTGTGAATGAAGTCATCTCCCAAGTATGACCTTGGACTCGTTCACACATACCTTCTTTCTCTGGCTCCCTCTAGGGCCAAGAAAAGGCAAGGCTTACCAGGTGCTTCTGGCTGGGGAGCAGTCCATGGAGGGAAACTGAGAGGAGGCGAGGCCCACACGTACGTGATAGCCCTCCTTGGTCTCCACCTTTTCCATTCTAGCCAACAGACTCACCGGGTATTTACATCTCTATTTCTTTTCACCATGGCTGGCTTAATCCAGTGGGCCTTGTCTTCCCACGTTTATCTCCAATTACATCAGCACAACACACAGACACATGTAGCACCTGGATTGGTTCATGCTTTCTAGACAGGGTTAGTGCCTTGTCTCATGCATGCATGACAGGCTCATCATGGTCATACGTCTGAGCTGATCATACCTTATCAATGATGGCAGTTGATGCACCCTCTTGCTCTCAGTCCTTCATGGTGTAGCTTGCATTCTTGTTATAGTATTTTAAAGAAACATTATGAAATCTTAGAAGAATAAGGGTTAACTGCATCAGTAGTGGTTGTATAGTGCAGATCGCCTCTCCCCTTCAGAAGTCTCATAGCACCTGGTGTTTTAAGACAACTGGTCTTTCCATCTGCACCTCAAGACAATCTCACATTTGTATGTCTGCTGTCTCTACCAATCTTCCTCTGTGGACAGGCTCTTTCTGGGTCTAACTATGTCATTTCCACTGTACCCAGTACAAATCCTGGCATGCACAGGGGCTCAACTAATATTTATTGAAGGAATAAATTATGCCCCTAATTTAGATTGATTTGCACTTGTTAGCATTTTTAATTTCAAAATATTTTTTCTTTTTTTATCCTCACTGTAACCACCCTTACAGTTAAGGAAACAGAGACACATGAAAGTAGAGGGGAAGGTCCCCTAGGCTTTCATGAGGAACCTCTGCTCTGGTTTTTCAAGCACAATTTTCCCCTCATTCTCTTTGGGTCTGACACTCTTAAGATGAGTCTCTTCCAAAGTAATTAGCATAGTGCTTACTATGGTGCCTGGACTAAATTAGGCATTCAATAAAGATCTGATGAAAGATGTTTGGATGGATGAATGAGTGAGTGAATGAATGAATATATGAATGAACAAACCCCAGAATAAAGTACAGATGTTCTTATTCAACCAACCAGTACCTCAAAGTTTCTTAAAACTTGTTCTCATCATTGGGCCTAATTGCTTTTACTTAGAACATGATTTTGGCAATGTTTGCACCAGGTGCCCCAACCTCAGAAGAAGCCATAACCTTGGTGATTTTGCTCAGATCCGGAATTTCCTACAGCAGTACAACTTCCTCTGACGCCTCCTGTTTGGCCTTAAAGATCCATGTGGAGTGTGCATTCTACTCTGTAACATAGGTGCGTCCATGTCTATATTTTTAATTACGTGTACCTGAATGAAACTGATGCTCTGTGAAGATGTGCCCTCTACCATAGCTTCCAGCACCTCTAGCACATCACTCTGTGTTCAGGGGTCTATGCACTGTGAGTGACTGGCAAAGGCTTAGGCCAGGATACATAGACAATATTACAACTACTTGTATGTACCTTTCTCATTACCCTGCCACTTAGCAAGAAGAGGGACAGAGAGTCAGGCTGTAAAGTCTGCAATTCATGCATGTCTTCCTCTTCTTTCAGGGTCTGGGAAGGTCAGGGGGGAGATGAGGGGTTGTGAGCTTATAAAAAATGGGATAGAGTCTTCTCCATTTGTCCATCACCTGCTGGGTTGCTGAGTTAGGGAATCCCCATGGGATTCCCAAGGGTGGCGCCATCCTGCCTTAAGTCCGACTGGCAGCAGGCAGGACCCAAGTGCCCACCCTTGCCAGCCCCCACCCCTGGCGGGCAGGGCCAGGGTGGTCTGGAGTCAAGCAGAGCTGTTGGCTGGTGCTCAGAGGACCTTGGAGCAGTGCCTGCTGTCACCCCTGCAATGAGAGAAACCTGGATTGTTTGTGATATCCAGAGGTCAGAGAAAGAAAAAAATGACTGGCAAGAGTATGCATGAGGGTGGGAACAGCTTGATCTTAAACTGGGTGCATCTACAGTTACATTTTTAGCTCCATGTCAACAAGTGCCTGGAGGCACAACCTTCCCTGTGGTCTGATTCCCAGCGTGCAAGCAAATCCAGCTGGGGCTGCCAGACCGAGGCCCGACAGTGAAGAGATCTGATGCAGAATGTTGAAGACACACACCCAGAACAAACACACACACATACTGAGCAGAACCAGGAGTCCAGGCGCCTCCTGCAGCTCTCAGACGTCAGTGTGCAAGGGAAACACCTGGGTTGGGCAGCTTATCACAGATGCAGTTTGAAGGCCCACCCTAGGGACTGTGACCTGTAGCTGTAGGGTGGTCTCAGGTGGTCTCAGGGAATTTGCATTTTATTTTCTAGATTTTATTTATTTATTTTTAGACAGAGGGGGAAGGGAAGGAGAACGAGAAGGAGAGAAACCACAGTGTGTGGTTGCCTCTTGCATGCCCCCCACTGGGGACCTGGCGCACAACCTAGGCATGTGGCCTAGACTGGGAATTGAACTGGCGACCCTTTGGTTCCCAGGCTGACACTCAACCACTGAGCCACAGCAGTCAGGGTGGAATTTGCCTTTTATATGCGCTCCTCTGACGGGATGACCTGGGAGCTGCTCTTCACCGAGAGGACGAAGGGAGCTGGAGAGAGGTTATGGGCAGCTGGGTACAGAGCCGAGGTGCTGGTGGGACAGAGGGAGAAAGCTAAGCTGCAGCGTCCAACAAGGGGGCTGGCAGTGAGCTTGGCGGGCTCAGTTGGGATGGAGGGCTCATGTGCAGGCCTCAGAGCGGGGGCTCCTCCATCTGCAACAGAGCACCAGCAAGTTCAAGCCTCTGCACTCAGCCTCAGTGATAAGTGATGCAGCAGAGAATGAAGCCATGCAAATCAAGAAAAGAGCGAGGACTCAAGAAATGTAAACATAGAAAATAATATTTAAAAAATGCATACAAGGTAAAGCATGGAGATGACAATTATAGGCGCTCTTTCAAAATGCTGCGGACATGGTGGAGAACATGGGTAAAAGGCCTTTTTACTCAGCGTTTTGTTTCAATCTTTTGTGGGGGAGGGCGCCCTCCACACTTTGCCTGCTGCTTGGAGATGTGGGTGGAGAAGGAGATGTTGAAGGTGCTGGAGAGGCAACCAGGGATGTCCCTGAGGGGCAGGGCACAGATGGCAGACTGGTTTTAGACAAAGGAAGTAAATGCTTGTACTCCCTCCTGACCCTCAAGAAGAATCAGGAGGAAGGATAATAACATACGCAGCCCGGAACAGTTTTTTGGGGGGAGGGGAGTGGAGTTCCCACCTGTGGCTTGCACCTTCTCTGTCATTTGGGGCCCACTCTTCCTGTTTTCCTGTGGAGGAACTTCAGCCGGACTGCCTCACCTGGCCTCCCCACACCCAGGCCTCCCTGTCCTGTGGGGTGTCACCAGGAGGAATGATGCCTTTGAGAGGAGCTGAGAGCGCTGCACTGGGGCCTAGCTCCCTCCTCCCTTCCCTTCTTCCATGTATCTTCTCCTGGCTGTGTGCGGAGGAGAGGACTGGCTAGGACTCCTTCAGGGTGTGAGAACACTAACTCCTCATAGGAGGGTCCTAGACCATGGGAGACTGGAGAGGGACTTAGAAGATGACAATACTATGGTTTCCACCCCACTTTGCAGAGCCCTGATCAGTGGGCAGGATTCTGGACCTCACCCCTCCCCTTCTACCTAAGCAGCTCGCTCAGCTCATGAGTACCTCCTTTGTTTCTGCTTCCTTATGAAGAAAGGCTGCTTGTGGGATTTTTAAAAATTTATTTATTTATTTTTTAAAAACCACAAATCTAATGCAGCTGCCTCATTTTTCAGATAAGGAGGCCCGAGAGTAAACTCTCACCTTCCCAGTTTTCAGTTTTGATTTGGGTGTCGGACATTTGCTAAAATCGGATCATACTTTTTATGCAAGTTCCAACTGGAATCAAGAGAATTATAGTGAAACAGATTTTCTTCGAAAGCTGAGTTCAGGTCAATGACATTGGCAGAGGCCAACAAGCAAGCAAACAAGCCCCGGAAACAGGGAGGCATGTGTGTTTTTTTTGTCTTAAAACAATAGAAGTTTCTTTTCTTTAATTCCAGATGCCACATGTTTGAAGTCAAGGTGAGAGCAGGGTCGCTGCACCTCCGAAGGCTCTCGGACAGAACCCCGTGCCTCTAGCTGCCCGGCGTCCGCGGGCGTGTGGCAGCGTCACTCCAACCCGTTCCCACCTCCTCGGGTCCTTCCTTCCCCACCGTGTCTCTGTGTCCCTTCCTCAGAAGCACATCAGCCATTGAATGTGGAGCCCACTGTAAGTGCGGTTGTTTGCTTTGCTCTTATTGTATCATAAGCTTAATGATTACAGAGATCATAAGACCTTACCTCTTCTTATAAGGACACCAGTATGACCTGGCTAGGGTCCCACCCCTATGACCTCATTAAAGGTCTTATCTGTGAATACAGTCACATGGGGATTGGGGCTTCAACAGATGAATTTTGGGGTTTAGTTGATAATAGTCCCTGAACCCCTGAACTGAGGATGCCCTGCTCTGGGTAGGGGCTCATCCTGTCACACACCTCATCCTGTGCCCTTGGCTCAGGCCTAGTAAAGTCTCAGTAACTTTCAGCAGCCCCGCTGGGAGCTGGGAGCACACATACTGCAGAGCAGTTTGCTTCTGTTTTGCTCTTGGAGATCTGAAATCCTTAAAACCCAGCCGAATGCTGGTGAAATGCTCTTGTCCCATGTGACCATGTGGGACCTCTGTCCTTTGGTTAAATTTGGCCCAAACTCTAATTCCATGGCCCCCCTCCAGTTTCCTTGTCTCATTACCATCAGCTTCTCCCAGACTCCTTGCTAAGTTCCTCAGGCTTCTTGGCCTCACATGAGATACAGGAGCCCATCCCTTCACTTTTTCCATACACATCCAGACACACGCAGCAGTTTCACAGGTCAGGTGGGGACAGTGTGAGATCCTATTGGCACGATCAACCTTCTGTAACCTCCTCCTGGCCCCTCTCAGCCCTCCCTTGCTCATCTTTCCCAAAGCCCAGGCCCTCCTGCGTTACCGGGCCCCTGAGAGGTTGGGTTCCGTTGCAGCATGCAGCAGAGACCATGGCGATGAGCCTCCCCGATCCCCCATCAGGGCCGAGGCACTCATCCCCCACCTGAGGGAGGTGTCGCCTCCCGAAGCTCCCACAGCCGGGTCTCACCTTGCCCTGTAAGGCAGGGTAAGGCATCCTAGGCCCAAGGACTTTCACATGGGGAGCGCAGCCCAAGCGCGCAGCCACGTTTCCATTTGAGACACCTCGGAGGTGCATCCCCGCTTGGGTGCTCCTTGGAATCGGCTGCCGCCTTCGCTGCGACTCCGCCTGCTGCTCAGTCCGGCTGTCCTTCCTTGCGGCAGGTGTTATCCTGACAGCCTTCCCTGATACTGTTCTCTCAAACCCCTGCCTCAGAGACCGCCTCTGGAAAACGGGACCCAACACCCAGGGTCTGCCCCATCATGGTGACCCCTTGTCGCGACTCCCACAGTCCTGACAAGTCAAAATCTCTCCAGTCCTGACCATCATCCCCATTTTCTTGACAGAAACCAAGGCTCAGACAGGACGAGGCATGCAGACCCAGCTGCAGCCATTCTATCGGCTGAGCCCACCGGAAGGTCATAGCCACTGGGTTATGTGTAACTCCTGTTAGTGTGGTTAGTTGACTTACCATGTGGCACTGTGGGCGCCTGATGGTAAAACTAAGCCTGATGGTCCTGGCCATGGGAGAAGAAAAATCTCTCCCTCACCCTTAGTCCCTCCCCTTGTGCTGCCTTGCAGGCCTGCTCCATCGACGATCCATTCTTCTTAGCATGTCCACTCTTTCCCATTTTGAAAGCTCAGATCTTCCCATTTGATTTGGATCTTTTTTTTTTTTTTAGTTGCTAGGAACCGAGCCCAGTGTGAGTGCCTCAGGTAGGCTCAGGTGGTCTCAGGAACTGCAACAAAGCGTGAGTGCCGGAGCTTAGGAGGGGTCGCCGCCAGACCCCAGACAGCACCTCTGGTCTCCAGTGCGGGAGGCAGTAGTGTGTGTGGCTAAAAGTGAGGCCTCCATGTTACAGAACAAGGGGCCAAGGGGGGGCAATTATTGGCCCACCCAGGGAGGCCAAAAACTGTTACAGAACATGCCTCCCCCCCACACACAGGGCCAAGGGGGGTATGATATACTATTAGTGAAAAGACCCCCCCACTAGGTTCATTTGTCCGCTGCCTTAGGAAAGACATCTCTCGATGCCAGAGATTTGTGAAAAGGAAAGGAAATATTTACTCAGTGCTATACAGACTTAAAGTAGTGACCTAATGTCTTCATGAAAATGTCGAGAGTCCTTCTGGGTACCCACGGGTACACACAGTGCTTCCTTCTCCCCTGCCCTAATTCAGGGGACCGTAACTCCAGAAAAGAAGCAAACGCAAGTGATTCAGGCTGCCGGCACCGTCAGCTGTGTCACTATCCAGGCAGGATCTCTAATTAATCCAAAGCCATGTGGGCTCTCATGGCCTACTGGCAAGACTTCTTTCTCCTTTCTTCCAGGCAAAGTCTCTCCTGCTTCCCAGGCCACGTGGCGAAAGGGAGCACCCCAAAGCTGCGTGGTCCTCTTCTACCAAAGCTGTAGGGGTCCCCCACTCTGGCCAAAACCTCATGGTTCTCTCCACCAGAGCTGCAGGAAGGGGAGGGTCACCACTCTGCCAAAGCCGAGTGGCGGTTCTCTGCTAAAGCTGCATGGTGATTCGCTCCACCAGAGCTGCGGGAGTCCCCACTCTGGCCAAAGCTGTGGGGTTCCCTCTTCACATGGCTGCAGGGGTCTCCACTCTGCCAGAAGCTCCTGGATCTCTCTGGCAAAGTTGTGAGGGATTCTTTACTCCACCAAAGCCACGTGGCTCTCTCCTCATTGGCTGCTGCATCTCAGTTTAAATCCCCTTGCCAATCCTCCTCTGAAGTCCCATTTCCGACTCCTCCCACAATCAGCTACAGGTGCCAGCACTCCCATATCCTCCCAACTTTACTGGGCTGCCACTGTGAGTCTGGGCAGGTGTGGCCCCATGGCGTGGAGCCAATCATCTCCAAGCTGTCACGCAGGTGTTGTAACCTGGGGGACCTGCCCCAGTTCCATCTTGGTGGGGGGAAGTCCCTTTCCACCCCACTGGCTCAGAGTGTGGTCACAGCTATTTAACATATCTAAATGACCACACCATGGATTAGCTGCAAAGTTGTCGCTCTACAAAACAGCTCTGCATGTTCCTGCTTCATGTGTCCCTTCCCCCAACTCACACCTGAGGGGGAAGGGGTGAGGACATCTTATATGTCTTTCTAATATTTCCTGGACACCTTGAGTTCCGGTCCTTATTCCAAATCCCTATTTTGGACTTCCCCTCTTGGCTGCACCCTGTTACATCCGCAGCCTATTCAGTTTACGTCGTGGCTTCACCGTGAGTCCTCTTGGGCACGACTTCTTTGAGTCTTGGGTTCTTCCTCTGTAAAATGAGGATAACCCATCACGTAGGGTTGCTATGAGAATAAATGAGTAAATTAAGGTAGAGGTCTTAGTCCAGCACTTGGCCTACATGAAGCACTCGAGTTGGTTATTCTCTTTCACTTGTGGTTTCTCCTTGTTCCTCCTTTTGTGCGTTGTTCTCTCCTTTCCAGGGATTTTCCGTGGGTCCCCATGACTTAGGTATGCACATGACCAGATAATAGCTGCTCTATTCTTATCTACTTGATTTTCAGCTCAAGGATCTGTTCCCAAAGGGCACCTTTCATCTGCGCCCCTTTATTTGGGACTCCTATGAAAAGGGGTGTGATTGTCCCCAGTCATCTTTTTGAGCCTGATCATTCATTCAAGAGATAGGTCCTTGGCAAGTTGGGTTGGTCCTCTTCAGATCAGGTGCGCACCTCAGTGCGATCATGTGCAGCTGGGACCATGAAGACCACCGAGTCCCTCTGCACTCAGCAGGCACATGGTGGGGAGTGGACTTTCTGAGAAGGAAGGGTGGGGAGGGCAGAACCCCCCAATACAAGTATACCTGCTGCATCGTTCTGTGAAACAGCCACGATCTTTTGACTTCCCCTATCACTGTGGTTTCTTTCTCTTCCCAACATGTTCAAAGAGTATCTTTTTGATGGCTTTGCTTCTCTCCCCCCTCTTAACCCTTACATCTGACTGCCCCCTCTACCCACTCACCTGGAAGCATTTTCCTGAAGGTCCTATTTGTCTCCTTGACACATCCACAGATGTCTGCTCAGTTCTTTTTCTCCTGAACTCTGCATCACTGAGCCTTCTGATTATCCCTCCTCTGTAAAGTCTCCCTTGTTTTCTGTCCTTATGGTCCTCCTGCTTCACTCATCAGCGCAGCCACTTCTGCTACTTTAATAGATACGTGGGGGTCTAATTTTTGTCTTAGGTCACAAGCTTCTAGAAGTTAGATACTGTGTCTTGCACAATTCCACAGTCCACACAGGCTTCCACACAAGAGGTGTACAATTTACACTGTGAGCATTTTAGTCAGCTTTTGCTAGATTGTGCTGCAGGAACAGCCTCAAAATCCTACTGGCTTAAAACAGCAAAGGTTTTTCTGTCTTACTCCTGCAGGTCAGCTCTGCTGAGCCCCATCTGGCTCCAGGCAACACATCTCTTTCATTGTGGGACTCAGGCTGAGGGAATAACTCTCATCCAGGATAAAAACTGTGGGGGAAGAAAAGAGCAAGAGACCTGACAAAAAACACATAGTGGCTCTTACAGCTTCTTTTTGGAACAGGCCCAGTCACTTCTACTCACAATCCATTGACCAAAACCAGCCCACGGCCAAGCTTGATGTCCTCAGGGAGGGAACCAGGAAGACACCACGAGTGCTCACATGGCAATGAGGTCCTTTTATAGGAAGGGGGTTGTGAACAAGTGGGAAGACTATACAGTATTGCACAAAGTACTGTTTGGGGACCACTGACAGGGGCAGACTTAAAGGTGTTACATAGCAAGTGCGATGACAGCCATAATTGTATACAACGAGGGGTCAGTATTAAGTTATGACTCCAACCAGAATATGACAACTCTCCCACGAAATGGGGCCTAAGGGCTCTGCTCCACTTGGCGCTGGGAACAGTTCTCCACCGCCCCACAGAAAACACAGCAGCCGCCAGAACACGCAGGGGGCAGAGACAGGAGCTACAAGCCCCACAATCCAGGGCCAGATTCGTCAGAGCTTGATGGAGGAAACTGAAGTATTTTGTAGGAAACAATGGACACTTGGTGTTTAATGGTTAGGTTTTATGCTGAGACATCACCAAGAGCCTGAGGCTAGAGGAGGCAGATAACACCGGGCAGGAGGAACAAGGTGGGAAGCCTCAGGCAGCCTGGATTCGACTGCAGCAATGGCTTCAATGAGATGGGTGGACCTACTGCCCCTTCCCTAATGGAAGGGAACCGGAGACAGCCCTTGAGGTCTTTTGTTGTTAAGCACAAAGAATAAAATGCATCTGATTCTTACCACAGAGTGTTGGGTTAGTTTCAGTGAGTAATTAGAGTTGGTTTCCTAGACAGCTTGAGGAGTCATTATTATCTGGACTGCGTTGGACCTACCTGCCTAGCACAGTGCTGGCATCCAGAATGGGCAAAACAAGGTGAACAGCCTCTCAATCCAGAATTCAGTGTTACTGAGGTTTGTATCCAGGCCTGATACGTGTTCTCAATAGAAAAGGTTCCTGAGAAGGAGGCGGCAGCCCCTGGTGGGGCTGAACCTAGTCAGTGGGTTCAATCACTCTGTCAGGGACACGGACTAATAGTTAGAGGGCATGATCTGAGAACCCAGAGGTGAGTGTCTCCCTGTAGCAGCTTGGGCTGGTTCCGAGCCATCCTGGACAGGAGACTCAGGCTCTGAGCACTAACGAGGAATCCAGCTGCACCAAACTGTCGTGCAGTTCCCAACCTCACTGGAGAACTTTCAGAGGCACAGGGGCTGTTCACATTGCACGGCACATGGTGTCTTTCTTGCAAACCTCTTTACAAGACACAAATCTTTTTTAGACACATTTCTTCTCCTAAATCTCCTCCTGCTCCCCCTACAAGGAAAGGGGTGGGTTGAGAGTGGGGGACTGCTTCTTTCTTCCTCTTTCCCCCACAACAGCGCCTCCTTCTCCAAGGAAGCCCCCCTAGCACTACAACGTGGCTAGAGAGCTCCCTTCATCCCGCAAACGGGTGATCACAGCATCTTTCCCTCAAATACAGCTTCACCCCCCCAGAAATCTTCATATAAGAGCTACCAAGAATTTTCTCCATATCATCATGAACTGTACAGATATGTTTTTGTGTGTGTGACTGTGTACAGTTATGCATGCACTTACTAACTTTGAGAGACTTGTCTCATGTACCTGAACCTCATCTCACATACATAAATGAGAGCCAGAGGAGAGGGGCCAGGCTGGCTTAGTGGATGGGTGCTTGGACCCTCGGCCCGCCAGGGCCGCCACTTCTACCTGGGTAACAGAAAACGGGGGACGACTAGTATCTGTCTCATAGAATGGGTGCCATTTAACTCTCACACCAGGCACAGTGCTGAGCACCTTTCCTGGCATATAAGTGCTCCAGAAATATTAGTAATTACTTTTATCTTAGCAATACTTCTACCAGCAGAGAGAATATATCCCAATCACGAATTCTGTTGAAAACTTGTGTAGTTGTTATAAATGTGTCTGCACATTTCTGTCACTTCATCGAGAGAGGGAGTCGAGTTCCCCTCTTACGCACTGGCTTTAGGGCTGTGCTCCTGACCGAATGAACAGGGCAAAAGCCTTTAGAACCTGCCTTTAGAACCCGGATGGGCTGCAGTGGGGAGGCCCAGAGCCCAGGAGAAGACGTGTGTGAGAGCGCCTGTCCACAGACACACGAGTCTGAATACTTTGATTTCATCCGTACGATGGTCTGCATGATTTTTTTTTTTGCAAAATACCTTTATTTGTACATTCATGTGAACTTCATGATAACTCTGTGGGGCAGGTAGGATGATACTAGTGCCCCTAGAGATATATGAGAAAACCCAAGGTTCAGAAAAGTCCAAGGTCACACAGCCACAGCAGAGCTAAGACTAGAACCCAGTTCTGTTCTTTTCCCACAGTACCTTGACTTTACCAATGAGCTGCCTAGAACCACACTTCCTGGGTAACCTGTTCAGAAAGTTCCAGGATTCTTTTGAGGCTGGAAGTGCATGGAGTGACATGCACATGCACAATTAGGGTCCCTGGCCCAGGTCTGTGGGCTGGCAGGCCCACCCTGCCGTAGGTGAACCCATTTACTCCTAAAAGTGTGGTGTGGGCAATGGCGGGCCTGTGGTCAGCCCCACGCACAGTGGGGTGGCGCCTGTCTGAAACCAATGGCAGAACCTGGTAATGACCCTGTCTCATGTTTGAAGGCATGTATTTGGTAGACGGTTGGAACTTATGGAAGGATCAAGGTTTTCCACATAACCTAATATAAAACATACACTCCACAGTCATTATCAGATTTTCAGGAATGCTTTCCTTCCTTTCTTGTCTCCTTTACAATTTAATTAGAATCAAGCACAGAAAGTTGAGTAAGAAAAACCAGGTCTCTCCTTCAGTGGTCTGGTTCCGTCACTGGCCCTGCCCGTGGGAGAAACGTACTATGGCCTCCCAGCATCTCATCACTCGAGTGGTTTCTAGAGCCGAAGGCACACACACGACAGGCACAATGTGAGGTGACCTCTGGGGCGAGAGAGAAATGTCAAAACTTTTATTTCTGTTTCATTCAACTCAGCCTTTCCTAATTTCTGTTTTGTACACACGCATACACATGCTTATACCTGTATATGGTATGGTCTCAATTTTATTATTTTATGGGTAGGAATTTCTGTCAATAAAATTTGGAAAGCATTGCTTGAGAACAAAGCTTCTCCTTGAGGCAGGAGCTATACCTCTGTTTTGTTTTCTGCACAGAGGCTATGGGCTCCCTGTGAGGTGGTCGCTATGGCCTGAAGTTTTGGGGCTGACCCAGTGCTTTACAAGGCACAAGACACACACTTTTCCCCTCCTCTTAAGATGCCTCACCTGCTCCATGATCACCCTGGATGCAGGGAAGAGCTGGGAAGCCAGCAGAGAGGGGCGGAAACAGTCTCTCTTCGCCTTTGCTGACTGGCTCAGACGGATGGCTTGTCCAGAGAGAGAGCGTGTGCATTTCTCCCACCAATTCCTGCATGCTTTCTTTTCCAGCTCTGCAAATTTTAGCTTTCCATTCTTTCCCAAATAAATCAGAACAGTCAGAGTCAGCCTAAAATCACAGGCTCCTGACCCTCCACGCTTGTTTTGATATTTGAAAGAAGCAGCAATTCGAAATAATCCCTATTTGATTGGAAAAGGGGGACAGAGCTTGTAAAAGGTCACAGAAGATTTCCTAAGGATATCATCCCTGACCACGAAAGCTTTGAAAGATTACCTTGGCTGAGAAAGCTATGTTCTGGGGGATGCGGCCACAGTCCAGGGACCAAAGCCTTGGCGACCGGTCCTCCAAGCCCCACACTGTGCAGAGCAGCGGCCCAGGTTGCTGAGCACACAGGAAACCTTGAAGAGGCCCCGATGCTGAGAGGCTACGTGTTTAGCTAAACCATCTCCCTCCATCAGTGCTTGACAGGTTCTGCCCCCTCTTTTAGCAAGACGTGTCTAAAGTTACACAGCCTGAAGATTCTAAGCAAGTATTTAGATATAAGCTTCCAAAAAAAATAAATAATAATCTACCCTGGCTGGTGTGGCTCAGTGGATTAAGTCGGCCTGCGAACTGTAAGGTTGCTGGTTCAATTCCCGGTCAGAGCTTATGCCTGGCTTTTGGGACAGATACCCAGTAGGGGGTGCTTGAGAGGCAACCACACATTGATGATTCTCTCCCTTTCTTTCTCCTTCAAATAAATACATAAAATCTTTTAAAAAGTGATATACGAAGTCTACACCATTCCCATCTATGGCTGAAGGAACTAAGTGTGCCTCAGCCTCTATGATTAATAGTAATAATAACGATAATAGCTAGACTTGTATAGCACTTAATTCTATGCCTATCACTCAGGAAATTTAATCCTTAAACAATTTTATGAGGTAGGTTCTTTTATCCCTGATTTTCAGAGGATGAAACAAAGGCTTGGAGGTTGTCATTCGCCTGAGGTCACACTCAGTGTCTAGATTCACACCCCTGGAGGCGGGGCCCAGGGTCTTTTTAGTGATCACGTCCACCCATATGAAGAACTAGGACCCCAAATTTTAGTCTCTTAAGTCAAATACACTTTTCCATTCTAAACTCTGCATTCTCTGATTTGAGTGATTTTAGGTTGCTTAAAATTTTCCCACCTCGTGCTACTTATTTGAAGAGCCCTTTCCAATCTCACTCTGAGGCTGAAGGTTAGAAGTTTGGCTTCTCTTTCGGTTATCAGAGCCATGCCCTTAGCTTCCTGGAGAAATGATTTTGCAGGCTATTTTATTGGGAAATCAGTTTGCTGGTTTATTTCTGCATGACAGACATGTGGCTTTACGGACAGTAGAGTTCATCTAAGAAACACCCTAGGAGATCGATCCAGAGACTGTGGGCTGGGTGTGGAGAACCAGGAAAGGTTTCCAGGGGGCAGTTTGCTCTGTCAGAACTGCCCTGGACAGGCAGACCACGCACCTGCCTTTAAAGACTTCCTTGGGAGACACGGCTGCTCCTTATGGCTGACACTGGTGACTGGCAGAAAGTTCCCTTTTCTAACCTAAAACTATTTCAGGTTAACAGTAAACATCCTGATGCCTGCTTTACTTGCATTATCTCATTCAACCTTTAATTAGCCCCACAAAGAAAAGTGCTATTATTATCCCCTTTTGTAGGTGAAGCTAACCATAGATAGGTTAAGTAACTTGCCCCAAGTCAACTAGCTGGTGGCCTGACCTGGATTTGAATGTGGACAATCCCTCTCCAGGGCCCAATTTGTAAATGTTATGATGGGCGGACTCCCTGCGAGGGTCCGTGTCCTGTGTACAGGATCCTGTGCTGGAGGGAAGACCTATTTGTGGCCTCTGCCTCATAGAAATGAATGCCTGCTATTGCACTGCCTCTGCTTTAAAAAACAAAACGATTAGCTCTCAAACCCCTCAAGTTCAATGTTCATTGAATGTAGGAGGTGACTCATTGTGCCGGGGGTACTTTCAAGGGCAATCCATGGGCTGGACTGGATGATGAAATGGAGTGGTCTCCCCGGCTTCGGGGCAGAGGTCCATGCAGCCAGATGGCCTTGCTCTGGGCTTGGACTCCTCGTGGTTCCGCTTTCCTGTGCTTTCATCCCCGTGGTGCTCACCTCTCCAGCTTCCTGTTTCCCGTGGCTGTGTGCAGGGTGCAGTGATCACTCCAAAGTTCTACACCTGACCCACACTGTGTACTCTCATTGGCAGGACTTGCTTTCTAGCAGTTTAACAGGAGGCTCTGAGAGGTTAAACTTTCAGACCTCCAATCGTCAGAGTTGGAACACTACTGCTCCAAGAGCACGCTCGTTTGTGTGAAAGAAATAGGGAATGAATATTGCTGGCAAAAATCATAAGTGAAGCATTTCTTCATGACTGCTGAAGTGAACTTAAACATATATATGTACATACATCTGTCAAGACTGGGATGGAACTTGCTCAACAAACGCAGTAAGAATTAGAGTGGCCCCACATTTTATTTGAGTTTCTGAGGAAGCACATGCGTTTTAAAAATGCTGCACCTGACATGACGGGCGTGTTCTTCAGTGCTGTCCCCCTTCAAATGCTTCTTCTTCACACGGCAGTCAGAATAATATTTTTAAAACACAAGCCTGACCATATCACCCCCGAAAACCCTACAAGAGCTCCCCATCACACTGATGCTCAAGTGCAGAGTCCTGACCAGACTTGCCCAGACCCTCACTTTGCCCTTCGCTCCCTTCCTTTTTATAACTTCCTTTTGTTTTCTATTCTTCACTCGTGCTCCTGCCACTTCCACGCCTTGCACATCTGTTCTCTCTGCCCCCGACTCAGTCTCTCTTGCCCCCTCTAGACCACACGCCTCTCCTTTGCCTGACTGATCCTGTTCATCTTCTTTGATCCTCACAGAAGCGCCATCCCCATTCACTTAGGCTGGGGGCTAGCGATGGGCTCCCCCGCCCCAGCCCTATCACCTGTTATCGCACTTACATGTGTCATTGGCCAGCTCCTCGGGCAGCTCTGTGAGGGCAGAGAATGGGTCTGCCTTATGCACTATTGCCACGCACGGGATGTGGCACAGAGGAGAAGTCCATAAATATTTATCGAATGAATAAACGTATCCATGATATCTATAAGATCTATTGAACTGCTTCTATAAAAACTTACAAATAAGAGGATCACACAATAACTACCCATTACGGAACCAGACTGCTGTAGAGCACCGTTGAAATATGTATATAACATGGTCCCCTAATCTAGTTCCTCATCTTGACCAAGGGAGGGAGCCACCCTGTCATTAGCTCCTCCTTGCATTGCCCAAAGTGGGCTATCAGTCTTCCTGAAAACTCAGAACCATGGTGTTTAGGTTACTCTCCTCAGCCTTACCTGGGAGTTCTCAAAACATGGTTGTCCTGGGTCTTATGATAGAAGTGTCTAATGTGTTCAAATTGAAACCAAAGCTAATGCATTCACTTCCTTAACCATGGATAGAGAAGCACTCACTTGGCATGGATTTTGTTTTGGATTTTGGTCTAGGAATCAGTTTCCTGTTGATTACAGCACGCAAAACATGCCCATATTTTACACAGACATATGCTCCCTAACTAATTCCGTTCAGGCAGTGGCTTTCAAAGCTCACTTTGTCTCCCACGCCCGGCCCCGACTCCCACTCCAGGAGACATTTGGCAATGTGTAGACTAATTTTTGATTGTCACCATTTGGAAGGGATGCTACTGGCATCTGGTGGGTAGAGTCCAGGGCAGCTGCCAAACAACCTCCAATGCACAGGATGGCCCCCACGACGCAGAGTGATCTCACCCAGAGCGTTCACAGAGCCAAGGCCAGCGGGCCCCGAGTGGAGAAGACATTCTCGGCACAAGAGCTAGGCCTTGTGTGTCTGTGTGGTGCTTTCCCAGATGCATGGAAATGAAGCAGAAAAGAATAAATTAAAAGCAATAAGGTGGCTGTGGTTATCTCCCTGCCTATGGTTTAGAAATTAAGATGCACAGCCTGTATTTAACATAGAATAATTTGGTGTGAAGAGGCTTCCTAGGCAGAGCCCAGACCCGGATTCATGAATTTCCTATGGAAATCTCACAATATAAGGCATTTAGCATGGAATTGAAAAGACTCTTGAGTGTAAAAGGAATTTTGGTGAATTCAAAATCATGTTTGTTTTCCACATGGAAAATGTTCATGTCATTTTCTTTTCCTAAGATTATGAACATCTGGACAAAGATACTCACTTGAGATGCAGGTGAAACGTGAACAGCTACTCTTCTACACAGACGATCCAGTGTGTTCACACTTAATCCATAACGGCATGACGTTACAAAACACATTTGTATATCGTGAAGCCATCTGGCATCAAAGTTTCCAATTTATAGACAACTTTGTATTTACATAGCAAATTAGTAAATCAACCATTTTTTTCCGGCTTATAAAAGGTCACTGAGGCACACACACAGTGTGTATAAAAGCACATAAGGCTGATAATACACATTTACAGTAGATACAAATTAATCTTTTATATTTAAGAAAATCCTTTTTTGTATATTTTTTCTATATCAGACTCCCCACTGTTAGCAGGATATCCCATGCTTGTTTATTGCTTTTTGGCTCGCTGATTTAATAATCACTTCGGGGTTTTTTTACACATATGAATTACTAATGTTCTTATCTCTTTGGCTAATGCAAATGTGACAGAGTGAATGAAAGAAAAAGATAAACTAATTCAGTATTACAGTTCTCTATTACAGTTCTGACTGGTTGATATTATTTGTTCGTAGCCCCCAATGGATCGAGTAACACACAACTCACTTTATACACTGTGGTGATCAGTCCGAGTCTTTCGCATTACACCATTTGGGCATGAATGGGCAAAGTAAACAAGATATCACATTTCCGGTGAGGTCTAGAATCCTTGGCTTTCTTTTTAGGAAGAGTGATGTAACCAGCATCTTAAGTGTCTTAGATTTTAAAATCTCAATGCGAAACTGCCTGTGACTTCCAAGAGAACGTTGCAAATCGAGCGGCAGATTACCAGAGTTAACCACCATGGGTTGTCCTGGTCTGGAATGAGGAATCAACTCCTCAGTGGAAAAGTCAGTGGAGAATCTTCGTAAAACTTACAGAAAGCGAAAGAACTGCCTTCCACTCCTCCCACAATTCTACTGGGTTATGTTCAAAAAAGAAGGTTGGGTTTAAGTTAAAAACAAACAAACAAACAACCAGACATAGCAAATAACTCAGGGTCTAAATAAAAGACTAACAGTGGCCCATGATATCACAAGGGATGGCTATTCTTCTTAAAGCATTTATATTTACAGTAGAACTGAAAAGTACAAACCAAAAATGTCCCTTTAAATAAATAAAAACCCTGATTGCTTTTAATGCCACAAATAAGACAAATCAAATGAGAGGTGCTCTGTTAATATTCACTCATTTGAAATAATCTTCAAAAACTACTTAAAAGTATAGGCTGTTCTCCTTGTGCTCCTAAGACTGTTAAGGGAACAGGAGAAAACTAGATTTCCTTTTCCAAGGGAGACGATTCTGTTCCTCATAGGAACAAAAATTCTTCAGTCTGTTGCCATTCTCAGATATGTTGGTGGGGAAAAGTTTATTTTAGGGAATAAAAAATGTACTAATGTAGAAGGGCTAGCTTCATTTAAAAAAATTAATTGGCTTCAGTACAAAGAGAAAGAAATGGCTCTAAGGGCAAAATTCAAGTACGGTGACCAATTTTTTAATCATAAAGTAGGTGCAACATTTTAAAAAAATGTTACAGCACTGCATGACCTGTAATGCTAACAATATTTACAATGACTGCTTACACGAAACCATAAAACTATAAACGAAACTGTGAAAGAGCGGGGGGAAAAGCCCATGTGGGCTGAAACGACACCCAGTACCCACATCGAAGCCGTGAGCAGCCGGTGAAATCATGGGCGCAGACATACTTTACATGGTCTCGTGATGTAAAGTACACACAGGTGGCGGGAGCACAGGCCCGGTTAGGTTAGAATATGAAAAAGGAAGGCTTGGTCGACACAAACTCAGTCTGAAGACAAAAAAGTAAAGGCTATGAAAACCTCTGCATATCAACACACACACACACATGCACACACATGCACACAGACGTGGGCACCTCTCTGTGAGTAAAAACAACCATGTAAACAAAACAGTGGAAAAGCAGGTTGGTGCAGAGAAATGGACATTAATGGTTTTAACATGCCAAACACATCAACTTATAACAAAAATGTGCCAACTAAACTATGTATAAGATTACTGGAGGTGACTACATGAAGGACCGGGCAGGCCATCCCACCACTATTCCAAGGACAAAACCAACCTGCCTCGGAAGGAAGGGTGCCTGCCTGCGGGCCACCAGGCCGAGGCGGCCCGCTGCAGGCCAGCAGGCTTGGGGTAGGGCCGAGGGTGGGAGTGGGAAGGACACAGAGACACAGGAGACCTGGGGGAAGAATTAAGAGCTGTTGATATTAACGGTGAGCTCAGGTGCAGTGCTCTGTGCTGTGGCCCCGAGAAACCAATCGGAGGAATGACCTTGGTCTCCTTCTTCCTGAGTTACTGGAACTCTGAGGAGTTTGGGGCGGGATGAGAGGAGGAGTGAGGGAGGTGGCGGGCATTTGGGGGCCAGGGTCAGCTAGGCAGGGCCTCCCAACAGCCCGATCTTTTAGGCTGTTGAGTGAGCCCCAGGCAAGGGGGACAAGGCAGCGCTCCCTAGGAGTATAAGGATTTGGGGGTGGAGGCTGGTAGTAGTAAGAATAAAGGGATGATGGACTTTTGACAATTCATCAACAGAAGTCAGGCTGGAGGCCTGAAAATTTGCTCAACTGCCTGGGAGATAAGGTTATACCACCACTACAAAAACTGTGAAAAAAAGACGGAAAATTATGTTGTGCTACATTTCTTATTAATAACCTTGTACTTTACAATGGCTCACAGTTTTAGGTTTGTATACTCGTAATGTAGTATTTTCTTTCTACATTTGTTTCCATGTTTTTCTTACTTAATATAATATAAATAATTTGGTTAATAGATTTAACCTGCACATTTAGCCACATTAATATATATATATATAAGAATCTGTTAATGGTATAAATAATTCTTTAAATAAAATAAATCTGATATGTTACATAATACTGATAAAAAATTACCACTGCTAATAATTTTGTAAGCCACCTTAACTCCTGGTTTAAGTAACATTGATGAATGGATATATGAAATTTGCTTTGATGACTTATATTTCTTTTTTGCTGCTCAAGAAAAACTGAATTAGAATCAACCTTACTCCTGATAATGATTTCAAAGTGGGGCTTTAGCTTCTGGTTCTGGGAACAGAAAGTTTCACCTTGCCAGGTATTGTCTGTAAAAGGACTGAACTCTGAGCCTCGGTGGCGGTGCAGCATCAACTATGTAGTTCCACAGGTGGCTACTGAATGTTGCCTACAGAAATGACTGCGGAAAACAGTCCTCCTAAGATTTCTGTATAAAATCTATTCTACATTAAAACTTAGGTAAAAAAAATATGCAACAAATGGTTGCAGTTTCTGAGTTCTTAATTTAGACCTGTGAGCCCTCATCCCTTTAGAAATCTGCAAGGTTTCCATTTCCTGGACGCCCGAAGTCTAGTCCAGCACTTCCAGGCCAGGTTCATTGCAAACAGACAATAGAAGTGGACACTCGGCGGTGTGCGGTGCATGTCATAATTCAGGGAATACAGCATCATGCCTCTTCTCTGCTGTTAAATACAAAAACAGCATCTTTTACATTATCATAGAAAAGCATTTAGGTTGTATTTTTATTTATCACTTTACACTGGTAGTCTCTGGTAGGTGTACTCCATAGAAACCAAAGAATTTTGTACACTATTTCTTTGTACAATAAAAGATAAAGTGTGCATTAGGTACGCTTGTACATGACAATATTGTACAATATTTACATTTCTGATATCGCCATGAAATTCTGTATTTTCTATATACAACATTGAAAATTCTTCAGAAACATTTGGACTATTTCTTATAATCACAATTTTAGTATTATAGAAAAAAAGCGTTGCTTAGTAATCTCTTGACCACTTATCACTCTCATTATTCAGGGATTTTGATTGTTTTTTCCAGCATTCATTACCTTTCCTGACCAAAAAAATATTGTATCCCATTTCTTTTAGCACCCTGTGGCGGTGGTAGCTCTCTGCCAGAGTATAAATATCGACACAACAGTGGCTGTATCAATACCTATCTAGAGATACGTCTGTGCACGTCCCTTGAATAAACACTGTGGGTGGTGGAGCAGTCCCTGTTATCTGGAGATCTTCCTCCTCTTGGGTTTGGGGGGTCTCATTTGTCTGTCTCCCTGGGGGATTTGGTGAACCTGGAAAAAAAGAGGTGGGAAAAACAATAACGGAGATTGCAATCAGAAATATTGTATGATTTCTGATAAAGAAGCAGAGTAGAGAAATAAACTCAGGCTTTCATTTTCTAATCACTGCTATTGCGAGGCATTCAAAAATTTTACCAAGATTTTTACCTAGATCTCAGTGGGCCCACAGTCACTACATAATAGGAGGGTCCTGGAAACTTCCAAGCAGAGCATATGCGGTGGGCCCCCGAAACAGTGGAACGTATTGGAGGAACTGGAAAAATTCACGTGTGGAAAATGTGATAGGCAGATGCTACTGCTGCTGTCCATTAAAGATGAAAACGAGACCTTTCCTAACAGAGAGCTCCCGATCATCGAGTTCACGAGCTTCTGGAAAGTGGGTAAATACACACCAATCATGTTTTTTCTTCGCTCAATCATCCTACTTATTTTACAACTAGGAAGGGTCAATGACAGTAAGAACCTCTGCAGTTTATGCGTGAGAAGAGTCAGGATGGAAAGTAGAACACCACTACCATCTGTTGGCAGATCAAAGCCTGTGTAGTCTAGGAAGAGCAATTAATACAACTCATCTGTATCGACTAACACAGAAACTAACAGGATTCAGGGCTGTATATCAGACTGAGCTGAGCGGAAGCCTTCACAGAGAATGTATGAGACAGCAGGTATGGTGCAGAGGTGCAGATGGCAGGTGCTAGAGGGGTGATTGGGTGCCCTGCGTGGTACAGTAACTACCAATAAGAGAGGGCAAAGTCAAGACCCAGGAAAGGCAGGATGGACCCAAGGCAGCAGCGTAGCAAATGCCTAACAACCAGCTCCCTGTGGAGGGACCAAAGTGCATGGTAGCACAAGGCAGTTTCCAGGGTATAAATACTTCTACCGTGGCCAATTTCAAGCTACGGATGTGATGTCTCAGAATCTGGAGTTCGGAAGAGGTATGAACAATCAGCTCTTGAGATCCACTACAAGCTGGCTCTATTGTATGTGTCGAAGATAGTGTCTATATAACGGCAAAGGCCAATGCCCTTCAGGGTCAGATGCAGAAAACTTATTCAAAAATAGTATTTAAAATTTTAAAATAACATTTATGAGTTTTTCAAACTGCCTCTTTTTCCTATCCCCTTCATATACATTCTTAAAAAAAATTATTAGTTTCTGATAAGGAGCTATAACTGAAACTGTTTTATAACTGAGGAAAAAAGCCTTTATTTGAGAATGTAAATTAGTAACCCCTGGGCCAAATGTGGCCTGAAAAGGTATTTTGTGTAGCCATATGATGTTCTAATATTTAAAAAATAGTTGTCAACACTTAAAAAGAGAGAGCGGGAAGGAGGAAAATTTTATTTCTAGACTTCTGGGATCTCACAAAAAAACAGAAAAATCTTGGAACGCTGGTGCAATTTCCCACACGGTGCAGATCTGCCAGAGCTTGGAAAAGGGCCCTCCTCCGGACAGAGCACGCTCTCAGGGTCGCTGCAGTCCCTGTTGCTCCAACTGCCCCCCATCCACGAAGGCCCAATGCCCTGAGCAGACACCAGTGAGATGCTCGCCAAACCCATTTTCTCTTCTTCCTGAGCAGGCACGTGATAGAATGTTAAGAGGGCCACATGCTTGGGTCAGGCCAGGAAAGTCAGCAAAAGTGATGAGCATCCAGGCCTCACCCATAAAACCTATCCTGGTGACGACCTCTGTGTACTCTCTCTTCTCTCAGTAGCTGGGTGGGATGCAAAGGATATAATGGAGCACGCTGAGGCTCTAAGGAATAGTGGACACTAGATGCAGAAAAAACCTGAGCCGCTGAGTAACTGTGTGGAGCAAGACCTTCGCCAACTAGAATCAGACCTGCATGAGCCTTTACCGTGTTGAGCCTCTGAGACTGAGAGGGTGGCAGGCAGCCTACCCCGACCAGTGCATCTCCGTGGGCATTTCTCAGTCCACTCACATTGCTGCTTTTCTCATACCTAATGCACCTGACCTATTGACATTGTTTGGTCCTAGAAGGTTGAGTGTACAATCACTGCTCTAGACTTTTCCTGTAATTCTATCAGGAAATTTAACATCTCAGGGCCTCAGTGCACCCATCTGTGAATGGACGGGTTGGATCAGAGTCTTTAAAGCCCATAAAAATCCAGACACTCTCTGAATCTATACCATGTATCTGTTATGCAGTAGCCGCTGAATAGGTTTCAGATAACCTTGTTCTGAAACCTATCCAGTGGCTACTGCATAACAGTCAGAGTAAAAGAAATGACCTTTTATAGCTGAATAGCTTTAGATAATTCACATTTTTACAGAGATTCCCCAAATTATATTTTAAGGGTTTACATTAGGGGACTGGAGGATAATGATCACATTGCTCACATTCAACGCTATTACATGCACTGTTTAATAAAGAAAAAGTAGACACTACTTCTTAAAGCCAGAGGTTATAGTCTTAGTTACTTTAATAACAGAATTTTGTGCTGAATATTTTATTTTTTAGGTAACAGTGGAAGAAAAATGAGAGGTCTAAATACTCTTGATCTTGACCCTGTTGTTCAATTTCACTTTTCATTCTAGGAACAGAGTGAAATTTGTGCTACTGAACATTTAGCCAACACTGATGAATGGTTACTGCTACTTAGAGTCCAATGCAGAAAGCTGCGGTTTGAACTTCAATATTTTCCTACTCATATTTTAAATGAATGCTATGTGGGGAAAAAACCCCAAAGTTACTTATATCAGAAAAAGACATAGTAAATACTGCTAGGTTGTTTTTTCTTAAATTACTTTGAATGTTTTCGATATTAGTCTTTTTTCGAGTCTAGTAATTTAGTATTGGTCCGAGAGTTGCTTGACAATATTTAGAAGCTTCAGCAAAAAATGTAATATAATTTATTTTCAAGGAAACACAATATAATGGAAAAATAAATTAACTTACAGTCCCAGACATTTTGTCCAGTTCACTCATGGCCTCATGAATAGCAGCTTCTAAATGGTTATTTAGCTTTCCACTTCTAGAATTAATGAAAACAACACATCAGATTAATAGGTTAAAGAAACAAAAGTGCAATATAATTCCCTAGTCAGAAAACAGAAGTACCAATTCCATCAGAAAAAATCAACTTATATTTGCATTGGGAAAATTCAGATGACAAAGCACTGTGGAATTCTCACCACTGAATACTGATGATAAAGTAGCAGAATTATGGGGAAAAAAATGAACGCATGACTGGGGAAATGGATTCTTTTCCCTTCCATGTGCTTCTTCCTGATAATTTTGCAAGAAATTTGGGCCACGGGTCTCCCTTCCCGTAGACGCAGCTTGTCTTCCCAGATTCCAGCCTGCCCTGTATTGCTCGTTGTTCTGGCTTGTTTCTTTGCAGGCAGGAAGGCAATGTGGCCAAGAGGGAGGGTGGAGGGGCTGAAATGCAAGCTCTGGCCACTAGGGAGCTCCCTCTTCCCTCTCTGGAGCTCCTGGATTCTGGAGTCGAGCGAACGAAGGCTGATATCCAGATGGGAAACGGTTAACTTGCCACACCCGAGGCTCCGTCCATGCCTGGCCAACCCCCACGTTTTCCCAAAAACCAAAATAGCATAACTATTCAAACAGATGAAGAATGACGGCCTCAGAGTGTCTGCCACTTGTGCGACCTTTTCTTCCCATTCCCCTTCTCTTACACATGTTTATATAACATACGCGGTACATCTGCCTGTATCGAAACTTACATCTAGGTAGCTGTTGAACTAAAACCAGGCAAATCCACATTATTCACTTCTGTAGTTATGTGCCCTTGTCCATTCTGTTAACCTGTTTCCCCTTCTTTATACATATAAATAATCACCCAATTATTCTGAATAAGGTCATTCATTTCATTTATCTTGTCCTGAAAATGAGTAGAAAAGGTGCAAAGGTAAAACTTTTCATAATCGTACCTCAACGTCTATGTGGAGATTGGATTTACAATTGTGGAAGAGTCTGTCTCACAGTCCTATGTAATTTGGTTGTAATGTGTTTAAATACCCATGTGAACTTGAGAGAAATGCCTTTAGATGAGGCCTTCTGGTTTACCACAGTCCTCACCAGGGTCTACCCTCGTATACCAGGGCTGGGCAAGTCACACATTCAGTTTCTGTGTACACCTTGGGGAACTCGGAGTCCTCCATTCCTGGGTGGTATATGGCTAGGCACATCATGGATGCCTGTATTTACTAACCAAAAATATGTGTCCAAAGGTAGCACAATGGCCCTATATGTTGGAAAACATATAGTATGCACTTGTCAGTTTAACTGGAAGGAAAGATTAATGTATCGATTTTAACTATACTATAAGGGTAATATATTCCCCAAACCCTCTCACTCACCTTCTGCTAACCTGTAAGCTAGCCTCTAGCTCTCATATTCTTCCCATTTATTTTTTTTAGAAATGTAAACAATGCAGAAAAGTACATAAAATAAATTACTCCTAACAAACCCATTTCCAAGAACAAACCTGTTAATAAATGACATATTTTCTTTCAGTTTTTAAAAGTTATTTTATTGTTGGTCCATTATAGTTGTCTGCATTTCCCCCCCCCCCTTTAAGTCTTTTTCATTTGAAAAATTAAAGCTAAAGTTCCCATTTGTCATCAGTTCCTGGTCCCATTCTCTTCCACCCTCCTCCCCAAGGGCAACTGTGTTGTATATCCTTTTAGAATGTTTTCACATTTTATATAATATATCCATGAACAATACCTAGTACTGTTGTATTGGTTTTTGGAATCTAATGAACAAAATAAACTAGAAAACAAAATCGAACCAGACTTATTAATACAGAGAACTGACAGGCAGCTGTCAGAGGGGAGGGGGTCGCAGGGTGAAAAAGGTGAAGGGATTACCCCCCCCTCCCCCCCAACCCACAGTAAACTCATAGACAACAGCATGGTGACAGTGGAAGGGAAGGGGGGTGGGAGGAGGTAGGAGCGGGTATGCAGTGGGGGACAAATGGCGATGGAAGGACACTTGACTTGGGGTGGTGAACACACAGTACAGGTAATGTATTGTAGAACTGTCTACCTGAAACCTATGTAATTTTATTAGTCAATGTCATCCCAATAAATTCAGTAAAAATATATAAACATATACACACAGAAATGTTGTCCTGATATCCACACTATTCTGCAACTGATCTTTTTTCCCCCCCTTATCACTGTTTTCGAGCACCGTCCGAGTTGATACAACCTATTTATATATTGTCTTTTATTACCTACCCATTCAGTGTTTTAAGAGGCCCTGGTTATCTTGGGGAGTCAGTCTGCCTTGTTTTCCCAGTGATGAGTTTGCTAAGCATGATGCTGGGTGGCTGGGCAGGAACCTGGGCCCAGGACCTGGCTGAGCTGGGGGAGCTTGGCGGAGGCTTCTGCGGGCTGCTTAGAGACAGACTGGGAAATGTCATGCATGCCTGGTTGGTACTACCCCTTGTGTGAAGGGTTAAATGAATTTATCCTACTCTTTTCTTTTGTATTGAAAAATATGATCGTAAACTTTAAAACATATTTATTTGTTATGCATTTGATTATAAGATCTTATGGGTTTAAAATTGACTACATAAAACCCTAAATGTCTAAATGAAAGGAAAAATGTTCGCATAAAAAACCATCAGAAAATCTTGTTTCTCTCACCTTTACCTTAATAAAAAAATAGCTACTATTTATTAAAAATTTTCTAAGTGCCAAGAATTGTGTTAAATCTTTATATACATTCTCTTATTAAATCCATACAATCCTAAAACTTAGATATTATGACAACTGTTTGTATGCAATACTTCATGACTTTTGAAGAATTGGTAAAACCAATTCTAATTTCGTAATGAGGAAGGTGGATATTTAAATACAACAGTTTTCAAAAATAATAAACAAAGAGTCATAAAAAATTTTAACTATTAAACATTACAATAACATTACCATTAAATTACATAAATAATTCAACATTACTTGTCAAATGGAAAGATAGAATTTTAGGAGTTTGTGATCTCATTCTTCAACAAGATATTTAAAATGTTTGTAAATATCTTTGATTTGATTTAAACTAAATTTGTACAATATTATTTTTCTTTGACAAACTGAAGTAGTTAATAGAGGAAGAAATGACTATGCAAAAGAGAACAGACACAGAGGTGTGGGGCATGAAATGACTTGAAGGTCAAATTTGCAGACCAATTTTTACACTCACTTGTCAGGTCAGGGAAAAATGAACTTAAAAAGGGGGAGAAAAAAACCTCCGTGAGAGCCAGAAATGAATGATGGGTCGAAATTCAGTCCTCCAGCCAGAGGACCCCCCTGTGGTGTCTATTCTATTGCCTGTACCCTGCTGACATTTAATAAACACTTTTACTAACGGACACTCTAAAACCTACTTAATTAAGGAATAGATGTTCATACAATCACATTTCTGGTTCCTAATGGAAATAATTGTCATGTCTCATCTTCATTACATATATTGTTACATATGATCCTCAACTTCACCAAAAAAAAAAAAACTGCCAGGTACACGTCTGGGAACGGTACAAAGACTGAGAGGGCAGTGAGAAACTGCAGGATACTCTGCACCGTCAGCTCAAAATTCAGGCGACTTCATGTAGAACAGAACGAATTGGAGTAAGACAAACGTGAAGAACCTTAGACTCTGACACTCAGTTCGTAGAGCAAGCACGCAGATTTAAGACAACTCTACACACTAAGTTTCATTTCTTGGTTTTAAAGTAAAAGTGTGGTTTATGTTATTACTTTATCCTGTTTCAGCTTCAAAAAAATCAGGTTACCACATAATTTATATGTACAAATAAGACAGAAGATTTGATCCTCACTTAAGTGAAAACTGCTACATGTCCAAAAGCTATGAAATTTTTTCTGAAAGCAATTGCTTCTTTTAAGTACAAAATGACCCTTGAGTAGTGTCTTCAATAAATATGTTAATATTTCTTTTGTGATTAGGCTGTCATAAGCATATACATTTAAAGATATTTTTATTGTACGATTTGCAGGATACTGAGGATTAAAATGAGTACATAAAGTTTTAAACTCTTAACATGGTGGTGGAATGTTTCAACTGGCAAAAAGATCAGATAATTTTGTTTCACCTGTACCTTCATAACAAAAATAACTATTTGGTAAATATTCATCATGTTCCAAGTATGTTGCTAAGGCTCTAATTATGTTATCTGTGCCACAAAATCTTACAAGATAGATAAAAATATGTCTCTTTTAGAGATGAAGAGTTTAGGCTCAGAGAGGTTAAGCAACATACCCGATGGCACAGAAAAATGAAGCGAAAGCAACAGGATTTCATCTCGGGTCAAAACCCAACCTCTCTGCAGTCTCGTTCCAAATACCATCTTCCCCTTTCAGTCTCTTCCTCTCTTCTTTCCCCCTTACTCTACAAAAACAGTCAAACCTTTGTCATCTGAAAAACTCTTCCATTGATATTTCTCAGGAACTTCTCACATGAATGGCAGAGACCCAGGGCCACTTTGCTTTTCTGCCGACCACACCAGTGGAAAGTGCTTCCACCGAGGCTACCACCGGCCTCCAAACTGCCCGGGTCAGTGGAGACTGTTCAGTTCTCGCCTGGGACCTGCCTCTGTGGAGCATTTTGTCATCCCGCAATGTTTAGTCTTTGGCTAACACCCTGCTCTGCTGCCACTGAGTCTTCCCCTCCTTACTGACCATTCTTCCCATCTTCTTCAGTATCTCTAGTAAATGTTCCAATGCCCCAGTATTCAGTCCTCAGTCCACCATTCAAACTGGTCCAAGTACCTCGGTGTGATTGCAGCCATTCTTACACTGTCAACTACAAATTCTTCCCAGTTTCAGACCCGTGTGTCCCAGGGCCATCCCACAGGGCCCCACGCCGCACTCAGTGGTTCTCCCTGGGCTCTCCAGCTCGGTCGGGGTTCCACTACCCACCAAGTCACACAACTGACACCCTGCCTGCTTCCTCTCCTTCACATGCCCATCACTCACCAAGACCGTCTGTCAGCTTCACCTCCCAAATGTTTCTCTACCACACTCCTCCTCCATCCTCAGTGTTCTCTTCCTGGCTTGAGTCCTCATCCTCCCTTGTCTTCTTCTGCAGCCTCCTAAACAATCCCCCTGCTTTCAAAATTGTTACCCTAAAATTTATCCTCCACACAGCCATATCTACAGTGGAAACCCAACCCCCTTCTCCTTCGGGCACTTCCAATAAGATAAAGTGTTCTATGGACCCTCACGAGGTCCTTACGCTCTGGCCCCTGCTTACATCTGTGGTTGCATCTCTTACAGTTTCCTGTTCGACACTTTACGGTCCCCAATTCCAGCTGCTGATCCCATCTAACACTATCCCACGCCATCCCATCTTGGTCCTTGCTTCTTTTGTCTGGCTAGTACCCAGGTAGCGTGTAAGGCTTAGCTCAGGCATCATCCTCCCCAGCAAGTCCTTCTTTACCTGAATCTAATGCCACTTCCCTATTATGCCAAAATGGATGGTACACGTCACTGCCATTGCAGTTTCAACAGTTTACTTATTTGTTCCTGGGTCTGTCTTCTTCACCAGTGAGCTCCGGATCCTGCAGCACTATTTTTTTGTTAGTCTCCTTAAATTGGGGAATAAATAAATGACCGGGTTCCACACATCCTTTATCATCACTTACGTGCCCTTCCACTAATTATTTAAGCGATTTCAGTCTGAGTGTCCCCATCTATAAATGGACTCAGTAATTCTAGCCCATCCTGTGATTGCATAAACCACATGTGCAAAGTATAATCTATCCTTCTGGGCATTTGCAAGGCATGTCAGTCTACTTAAACAAGAGCACTGTATAAATAAAGCTGTTGTTACTAATGTGCGCCTCACCATTTCTTCCTTACCTCTTCAATCTGCACTCTGAGTTTATGGTTTCATCAGAGTGACTTTAGGTACTGCCACTTAGGACCCATTAAGTCCACTACAGATAGTAAACTGGTTTTGAAGAAAGAATTTAAAAAATCACTGTTTACTACTCAATGCCTTTCAGGAATTGCTGAATAGCAAATTTATGGGGAAAATACAGCTTTTTCAAGGCACTATCCCTAAGTATTTGGAGGAGTTGTTTCATTTCTATGTTATCAACTCTGTTTTGGGTATTTTGTGTATAATCCAGCTAACTTGCATGCTTCACTGGAGAAAAAGTTGGGGGGATTGTTAAAAACCAGTGAAACAAGTACTGTTGAATATGCTATAGTAAACAATTCATTGCAAACTTGTGATGTAAATAATTTTCAATCTCCCTCTTTTCATCCAGATCTTATATTAATTTTATAGGCCTATCCTGACACTAAGCTCTACAGGAAGTGCCACTTAATCAGAGTAGAGGGCACCTGCCTCACTGTGTCCTGATCAGATTTATAGTGAGTCTGGCCATTCACTCAGCCCTCGTCACAGCCAGTGCCAACTTGCTACCTTCCAAAAGAGTCCAACGTAGGAGTTGGCCCCTTGCAGTTGACATCCTTTAATGAGACATTCCAGTGAAATGAGGAGAGTCTTTCCCAAGATTTGTTGAGTTCTAAAATTTTACCTCTAGAAAAATTACGGAAGACCTCACTAAAAAAAAGAGAGTGCCCTTTAACAGATATTGCTATCATTATGTACACCTTTAATACAAGATACGATGAGGTCTGTCCAGAAAAAGGCCAGTCATGGTTAATATAATGAGAATGCTTTACGGCAACATTGATGTAACCTGGCAGCCAAGGAGGGTGGAATGGAATGTGCATGTGCGAATAATGACAACTTCACTGTACTAGTCAGTGGGGACAGTAGATGCCACTGAGCATGTGTACTGTGTGGCCTTCACATTCAAAATGACTGAGTGAGCACAGCAACAAATCTGCATCAAATTTTGTATAGTTTGAACACTCCTCCTTGGAAACTATTCAGATGATTCAGAGGCCACAGCTGTGGGCAACTGGTGACTGGCAGCTTCATCAGGACAATGTACCCGCTCATGCATCACGTCTTGTGCAGAGTTTTTTTGGTGAAATATCAAATCACCCAGGTGACTCAGCCCCCCTACAGCCCAGATTTGGTGCCCTGTGACTTCTGGCTTTTCCCAAAACTAAAATCACCTTTGAAAGGGAAGAGAATTCAGATCATTGATGAGATTCAGGAAAATAAAATGCAGTAGCTGATGGTGACTGGGAGAACTGTGTGAGGTCTAAAGGTGCCTACTATGAAGGGGACTGAGACATCATCGTCCTATGTACAATGTTTCTTGTATTGTGTACCTTCTTTAGTAAATGCCTCCATTTTTCATATTACACGGCTGGATACCTTCTGGACAGACCTCGTATACTCCTAATCAGTCTGACTTCATTATTTTTGGATGTCTGATAATATGAAAACTGCAGTAACTGAACAGCTCTGTCAATTATATACATTTTAAAATAATTTTTCATATTCATATAGAAAAATAACCTTTGAAGTTCTTTTCCTCAAAATGAAATAATAGTTATGATACATAAAACTACATTGTATTACAGTGGAAACTGTGTTTCAAACATTCTTTACCTGTCCACTCTACAGTTACTCAGAATGTACAGATCTGGAAGAACATGAATAATACTGTCCCAAAGTTCAACTTCTTGTTATAATTCCTAAGAGAACTTATTGCACCTGATCCAAGGAAAAAATATTATTTACCTCCACTTAGATTAATAAGTCAATTTGCCAAACTGTAAATTGTAGACTTTTGCTATACTTTCAGACAATGTAACTGCTACATGTTGAGAATATTAATCATATTTTCTTGCCCACCAAATCAGAGAGATGGAGATGCAGGGAGTTAGGAAAGAGCCGATGAAGAGGGAAAACTCCCACAAAGTATAAATTGTTGAGAAAATATTTCCTGTAATAGCTGATTTGGCTTGTCTACCATGGTCCTCTTTGGTTACCACTATTCAACTGTTTATAGGCAGGCTACAAGATGGACAAAATCAGTGACATGTCATTGTCCTTTTGAAGGAAAACCAGTAAATCATATTTCTGAAAAACAAGATGGGAAGGAAAAAAAAAATAGCGCTTACTTTCTGTTTCTTTTCCGGGCTCGGCTGTAGGCTTCAAAACCTTCTGTTAGTGTCCTCAACTTCTCGGGCTCCACCTGAGTGAAGGCATGAGACCACACCACATTACCCAGACCTGCCATTGTTAACACTGTTTCTGTTTCCTGCTGTGCGCGCGGGCTGTGGCTGGGGGAGGGAGGCTAACACTGGCGCCGCCCTGTCAAAGGTCACAGGTCGGTTCTGTGGCTCCAGGCTGCAGACATCAAGGGAAAGGAAGACTCTGGCTTTTAAATTGTCAACATTTCAAAAATAGTGTTCGAAGAACAAAACTTAGAATTTAAGTAACTTGTGATTTGAAAAATCATATAAGTCAGAGATTCTGGTTTGCTTTCTTTGCAACCTGCTGTTCAGAAACTCAAGTCTGTATTTCCTCAGGAAGGACAAGCGTAGTGGTCAGTGAGGAGCAGGCTTTGGACTCAAGAGTCAAGTTTCAGTCTGACCTCCTGGCATGGGTAAAACATTTAAGTTTTCTGAGCTCCCGTTTCCTCCTCTTTAAAATGAAGTCGATGGTACCTACCTTGTTGTTAGAATAGCTGTGGGCTTAAAATGTGACAAGTCATGCTGAACATTTAACCAAGCATAGAGAAGCTAGCATCACCTGGTGTGTGTGAGGGAGGCCACCCGCAGTCCCTACTGGTGTGGGAGGAGGGTGTTGCTACACCTTATGGGCGGGCCCTCTCCCCTCTCCTGCTTTATCATGAGCGACCTGTGTGAAGCCTGCTGCCTCATCACCATCACTGCCAAAGGGCAGCTGGGGGATCGGTGGTGGGGGGGGTGCAGCCTTTGCCACTCACCCACAGTGATCTCTAGCTTGGCTCTTGAAGCTCCCTCCCCTAGGAAAAACAACGAATAAATAGGAACACTTGTATGTAACTTGTGAATAAAAACACCTTTAGAAAAACACTGCTATTTTTATTGATCTTCAGAAAAAAGACAAACTGAGTAAAGACAGTGTTACTTGTATAAACACAGCTTCACAGCAAATCCCCTGGCTGTCCCTTAACCCAGCTTTTTCCCAAGCCCTCTGCTACTTTTATGTAAAAATTATACAAATTCAGAGGTTGACAGAAATGCTTCATGGGTAAGAAAGTGAACACTAATAAGCAAGAATATTATTATCACTTTTTGTCTTTAAATCTTCCTGACTTATGAATATTATTTATAAGTGATTTTTTCTTTTACCCCTTTCCAATTTAGTACACAGTAATGATTAATGAAGTGTTTTAGTCATCAAGTCTGAAAACAAGCATTTCTAATCATTCAATGGGAAAAATGGTCAAACAGTGAAAACATTTTCCTTATAGTAATTTTTTGTATTTTGTCATAAAGGATCCAAATATCTCACAGAGCAGGAGACATCTCTGTTCCAGTCACACTTCGTAATGTAAGAGCTATGAAGGAAATGTCTTATCAGGATGAGTGGAAAAGCGTAAGTACAATGAATACATCCATGTGTTGTTTAAAGAAAGAAAAAGGTGCCTGGGATACATTTTCACCTTTCCTGTGAGACACGAGACTCCATCTCGTATTCACTCCCCCGAAGAATATGAAAGCTATTTCACACATTACATTTATGTAACTTAGAGCTAATTCCACTTGTATTTAAATGGCTTTCTTGACGGCAGGAAGAAAGCTTTCCTGTAACAGAAGCTTCTATTAGACACACGCTGGCGCGGTGAGAGATCTCGGAAGGAAGGATGGATGCGGGCGACAGAAGGCGGATTCGCGGTGAGACAAGGTGGGGTGGGTACCACAGTGGGAACTTTCCCTGTAGAACTCCATGAAAAAACAGAACACTAAGCTAGCTCAAACTCTCTTTTTAAATCTTCAACTTTTCATTTTAATTAAATAAGGAATATGGGGCAGTAAAAACATTTCATGTGCATTTTTATGTAAACGGCACTGTTTTATTATTGGTCTGAAAACCAGTATTATTTTTGTTATTTCTCAGGTGGGCCTCAGTCTTTAAGTGCCAGGGCCAGCACTGAAACTCACGTCTGACTCCAATGCACTCAATCTCTCTCTGCCACGCCAACTCTAATGCCCATTGGAACAGTCATTTTATATGTATAGTATATACACACATGTATATATGTATGCACACAGACATAAAAAAGTCAGTCAAATGATTTGAAATCAAACTGCATTTTTGCAGAAATTTAGATAACACCTGTCCAACTTTGCTTTCAAAATTTTCCTATGTTTACATAATTTTCTGGTTGTTTTTCTAAACTAAATCTTTACAATGATTTCTTCATTTAATTTTGCCCGTAAGGGTCAAAGTTCCTCTCACAACAAACTACATTGTTTTTAAAGGATTCAGTGAAGTGACAGAGAAAGCAATGATGTTAACTGTAAATGAGAGTTACGATGTTAAAACTAACTCTAAATGAGATACGATGTTAAAATTCCCTGCAGGCTTTAATCCTGATAACAGGTTTAAATCTCTTGGTGATTCCTTTTCAGCTACTTAGTGCTGAGGCAAAGCTGTCACACAAAGGTTTTGACCTTTGTGTGACAGTGCACAAGCCACATCACGGATTTCATCACGGAGGTAAGACAGCTGACCTCAAGTTCCTCCTTTCGTTCTTCACTTCCCCGCCCCATTTCTACGGCGCCAGCGGCCCCGTGGGCTGGTGGCAGCAGGCCCGGCACTAAACCCGGAGTCAGGAAAGGAGGACCTCCCTGCTTGTGCGTTGTGTGCTTGGGCATCCCTCTCCTCCGGGCTTCCGTTCTCTCATCTGCACGGCAGGGGTAATTGTGCACATTTTTATGGGTCACTGAGAGACTCTAAAGAGACGATGAACATGAAGGTGTTTACAAACACCAAAGCAGTGAAATTATTTTAGGTGCAACACAGACAGGCCTTTAAACATTTTTAATAGTTATGTAATCATATAAACTTATATTAGAAAAATACAAGAACTACTTTACCTATGATTTCCATATATTATAATTTGGAAGGCTGAAGAAGCTATTTAAAAATGGCTTGAATAGTGCCTAGTACACAATATGCGTTCAAAAAATAGCTGTTGAATGAATAAATGAGTAAATGGGTTTAAAGGAAAATTTTAACTAAGTAATAGTACAGGTAACATACTTCTTTAGCTGAAGTCTGGGAAATAGCAAATTAAGCAAATATGAGGCATTTCTTAGGTTCATTATTGTCAAATATTTATTAAATAGTAAATTTTTTAAATCTTGAAAGAATGGAAATTAATGATAAATAAATAATTTGGGGTAAAATGTTAACTCACTGGTGACAGAAAGGATGAACCAAATTTTCCAACAATAGAACTCGTGGACATAGCACTAAATTGACTCCTAATTTTTCCCAGCGAACCCACCAGGTCCACATTATTACCATTTTTGTCAGTGGTACGACCTGAGGCTTTTGTGTCTGTGTGTGCTTCCTCGCCTCTGCACTGTGAGTAGCAGGATCTCTGAGTTTTAGAGAACTGCACGACAGGACCACAGTACGTCTATTCTAAAGGTCATGACAAATTTTGTGCCGGCCCACAACACATAAACAGATGAGATGTTTTGGATAAACTTGTATATCTCAAGGAACACTGGGTAAAAGCTCATGTAACAGAAGTGTGTATATGCCTCTGACCTGAGATTGTGTTTGCCACAAAAGCATCTACATGCAAACAGCATCGACAAGCTCCTGAACTCTGCACTGAGTTCCCGTGAATGGAGAGAGGCCACCTTTCCCTCTGGCTCAGGGGAAAGAAGTCACAATACTGGATTCCACAGTCCACTAGAGTAAGGCTTACAGTCTTACCTACGCTTTCGGCTCACTCAGTTTAGTCTTCTTCCTGATGTTCACATGTCTGATCTTACCTAGCTCTTCCTTTTTATGAACTCTCAAATTTTGATCAGGCACTGACTTTCTTCGCCAGGATCTTATCTTGCTTATCACTTGTCAAAAAAACGATTTTGCTTCCTTTTCAAGAAGATTCCGTTGCTACAGAGCATTGATTGCCTTTGCCGCCCCACCAGCCAAAATGTAGCCCAAATATTACAGAGAAAGGATTCATTTCCAACTGAGGTTAGGAAAATATTTAAGGTAAAGGGAGTACACAAAGAACAATTTCAACATTGTTTCGGCACCAAACAATGTAAACGGCTCACACTAATAATCAAGCCCAGAAAGAATGCTCTTGAAAATGAAATGTTTAAACATCACGGGAGGGCGGCCTCCCAAAGTCGGTCCCTAGGCTCGGGTTCTTAAGTTAGGCCCCGCCCCCTGAATATGACGGCCGCCCAGCTCTGGGTTGGACCCACACCGTCAAGATGTGTGAGCATGGGATGCAGAGCTGACAGACCAGAAGTGGGTGCTCCGCGGATCGATTTTCTTATGAGTTTTGTCTCCTTTGAACGGCTATCGAGAGAACTACTTTTATCTCTATCTGCCCAACATGACGGTGCGGGAAAAGCCAACAGTGAGTCCAGAGAAGGAGCACCCGCCCACTGCCTTGCAGAGCCTGTTGTTATTTCACCAGGTGCTGTTGCACTGACACGTGGAACTTTTCTGGGTGGTCAGGTGATGTCTCTATTCGTCAAACAACAAATGTCCCATTGAAGAGAGACATTCTGGTGACAATCTAGAAATAAATCTCTTCCTAAGTTAAGCTCAAGTCAGAACACGTATCAAATGTTAGAGCAATGAAATGTGACGGCCAATGGGGCAATGTCCAGAAAGAGTAAAAATGATCTACTCAGAAGAAAATAAGAACTTTATTTTTTGTTAGTAAAAAAGAAAAAAGAGAATCATCCCTTTCAGGCTAGTTAATGCAAAATCAAAGATGAGAATTATGACATTTGTTTTCGACAATGAGAGCATTTCTCCTATGCTTAAATAATTAGTGAAATAAGTACACAAAGACAACTGCCTCCCCCACAGTTGCACAGCCTCGAAGTGTTCGCACGGCACGGCACATAGGTGTAGTGCCGGTGGAAGCCGTTTTCTTTGCAAGAATTCTCTCATCCAGAGCCAAGGTCTGGCAGTGCGTCTCTCCAGCCATGAATGGCCATGTAATTGAGCACTGCAGTTAGGTCTTACCCTGGGCCCCTGAACCTCAAACTATAAAGGGTTCAGGGTTTAGAGAGGAACTTGCATTTATTTAGAAAAAGTATAAATATTTTCCAGAAGATACTTCATTACAAACTGCTAACCACAGGGGAAAAATTATTAGTAGGTGATACCACTTCCCGGATGGTGTGACGTCACACAGTGTCCTCAGCGCAGCCAGTTTCAGTGCCCGGCCAGGATCATACGGGGGCGATCAGCCCAACTCTTTACAGATGGTTAAAAATCTCTACTAATTAATGTTGTTGGTCAGGCGAAAGGGTATGAGGGGAGGTGGGAGAAGGGCGTGAAGGAAGGTAGATGAAGAAAGCGTGAGTTTACATTTTTTAGAAACTCTGAGACGGGATCTTCAAGCTGACTCAGTAACTCAGAGCTTCGAAATGCTTCCAAGTTGAGCTCCTGTATGAAATGAACAGCTAATACTAATTTATAATCAGATATGCCAATTTGTATGATGTGCTGAGGTTTATAAAAAGTTATAAATGATTTCATTCACTGGATATATTCCTTATAGCCCTTTTATACCCAGCCTGGTTAGTAAACCCTTTACTCATGCATAATGCATAGATAAGCCCTAAGGTCAAATGACCACCATTCCAGAACACTGAAAGCCAAATTAACCAGGTTGTCTTACACAGAGAACTGGGGTGAAGAGGCTCATTTTTACTGAGCCTTTTTGTGTGCCGGATAATCTAGTTATGGTATCTTGTTTAATTCTTAAAAACGTCATTCTGAGTAAGGAATTAATATTCCCACTGGAGAGGCGCGAACATTGCAGCCCTGGCAGATGAATCTGCCTACCCAGGACCGTTTTGGTAACTGGCGGAGCTGGGGTCAAGCTCACGTCAGAATGCCCAAAGCCCGTGCCTCTTCCTGGCCACACCTTGCTTTCTCTCTAGTTTTCTGTAGACTGTGTTCAGGGAGTATTTGATGTTTAGAAATCACACATCTTAGGAAGTCATCTCAGAAACTATAGAATATTGCCCACGGCTTATTCATAGTTTTGCTACATGTCTTGCCCCACCAAAGGTTGAAAGTGCCTTTCTAAAATCACAAAATGAACCAGTCATTTACCGTCATGACAGACAGTCGGTGAAAGCATCAGCTCATGGACAACATGGAGATGGAAATCTCGGCCCCCAGCAGGCATTCGCACTCCAACCACAGCACCGGCCCCTCAGTCCAGAGGTCCCTCACACAGCCAGAAACACAGCAGGCGCCTGGTCTGCTCTGACTCAGTAACCCGCAGTCCTGCCAATTAATTATTTATTTTCCCCTGCTCGGCCTGCTTCCAAAAAGAGTTTGGAGGGCTCGTTGAGAACAAAGACTGCCACAGAAAATAAATGACAGGTTTGTGGGATGTGGGGTAGTAGGGAGATAAGATAATACATCTCCTCTAAAACTGGAGTTAACAAAGATTTTATCTGGTGGGATCTGACAGGATCTTTGATTAATTTGCTTTGGTAGACAGAGAAACCGTATGAAAAACTGAGAGGTGAAGAAGTTTTTAAAGGATAATGTGTAAGAAAACTGTCCAGCAAACCATTTCTTCTGAGATGCTACAAAGATAAACACTAGGGAAAATGGTCCCTTCTGCGTTGGTAAGGTGGAATTAATGAGACCTTACTATTATAAACAAACTGTTTACACAGTCAACCTCTATCTCTCTTTTGACTTCATTAAAATGTCAGGCATTGCCACAGTATATAGAAGAAGCCCTAAAGTGTTGCTTACTTTTTTAAAAGCAGAAATCTGGTTATCAATGTGCAAGACTTGACCTAACACTGTTGAGGATAAAGGGTGCTATGCAAACAAAATTCACATCACTGTTTGTTCACTTGAATAAGAGTACACATTTTAAAAATGTTTTACTGAACATCTTTTCAAAAAGATCCTGCTTTGTCTTACACAGAAATTAGACACAATTTAACTTTCGCTGGGTGAACCAGGATCACCAAGACATCAGGCAGAGGCCAGCTGGCTTGAAGTCAGGACTGTGTTTGAACTTTTGCCTTTTCTGGGGCTGTAAACTGGGAACACTGTTTGGCTAGCTGGGCATCTTTAAATAAGGTATGAGGAAGCCCTTCCTTTGTTTTGTGACCCATAGGAGAAAAAAAGATTCTTTGTGAAGTAGCACTTCGTTTTTCCTGTGAAAAAGTGAGGTAGGCCCTGGAAAGACCTGAGGCTTTCAAAAACATTAAGTACCCTAGAGCATTTAGGGTTATTTACCTTGCTTTTTAATGATAGATAAATATTTCATGTGTTATTAATATTTCATTACATATATGTTTTGTTTTTCACCTCTAAACATGCGCTTTGACTTATTTTTCCTGAAACTAAAAATACGTGTAGTGTATCTTCATAGCAATGTTTTGAGAATGCAAAACTACAGTGTCAGCCAGTGGGAGGGGAATATACGAATTTACAGATAAAAATTTATGCTTCCTATTAAGAATTCCTCTACTGCTTACAATAAGAAAGAAGAATCTGGATTTTTGGAAATGTAAACCAGTTGCCTATTTAAAGGAAGGAAAATAAATGTTTCTTGGACTCTTAGGTAATAACATTTTTTAAAAAGTACATCTCTCCAAATATCAGTGAAGAACTCAATTTTAGGAGCTTGCCAACACAGACTAATCAGAAGATTAGGACCGTTGTTTAATGTGGAATGTGTTAAAGGAACATGCCTCTAGTCTCGTGGGGACATACAGAGATGTTTAGACAAGGCATTCAGGTCAGGAAGGTTTCCAGGAATCAGAGAGCAGCCATAATCTTTTCTTCCGTTAAGCTTTTGAAAATGGCGCATTAAAAAAAGACATGGTTTCATTCGCACAGACGTTGTAAAACAGTTCAGTGTCTACATCTTGTGTTTGCAGCAGTTCCATTTATACCATAAAAGCCCAATTTTGCTGTTTCTAATTATTTTTGAATAAACTGTCAAACATATTTAGGTTTATCAACCTAAAGAATGTTTGTCTGGTCTCAGAGAGATTAGAGCACAAAATGTTTTGTGAATAGGAGTATGGAGTTCATTTTCTTATCAAACATAGAAACATTATGCCCAGAATGCATCCTGACAAGTATATATTAGGCATTATAAGCAACGGGTTGAAGGACCTCCCGGTCATTTGGAGACAGACAATCCTTTTATTGTGCTGGCAAAAACGCTTTTGGTTTCCTGCCATTAAACCTAAGTGCCAGTGGAGGTTTGAGCAGAGTTGAAATAGCTTTGCTCAATATACTCTTTAAGAGAATAATACTATATACCTGGAAGAGTAATTTTTATTTCCTAAGGAGATGAAAAATTATATGTTTCTTCACTACATGTGGGGAATATGCATTATTATTTCCTCCTGGTCAGATGTAAATTTTTTTTTTCAGATGTAAATTTTTGTACTTTAAACATTCTGCATATTTCTGGCCTAGTGAATCACTTCTACCAACTCTGGGGTGGGGGGAGAGAGACCAGAAGACCCCCAGTAATTTCTTCTAAACTGAATGGTAGTTTCATGGAGTTTTCATTTAATTTATATGATCAGATTGTGTTAAGTAGAACCAGACTATGGGGTTAAACATTTCCATGTGTTATAAAGGCCCAGAACTTTTCCTGAAAGGAGACATCATTCTGATTCCAGACATGACCTGCTGCTTCCAGAAGTGGCTGCAGCTCCACCCAACGTTAGCCTCTCCCCAGCGCTAAGGGTCGCACGGAGGTGCAGGAGGGAAAGCTGTCCCCTGGCACTTCCTGTTGCCTCCGGTTTCCCGGGTGAGAACCATTCTGAGCCTTAGCGGAATCTACAGACGTTTCACAACTCACCCCTTGATGATACGACATTTGGTGACTATAAACTTCCCCTCTTCACTTTATGCTCCAGAAGTTTATGAGACCTCAATGAGTCATGGAGAATCCTAATTTCACATCCAAAGACTCCAAAGTGATGATAACAAAAAACAATAATTGATATTGGAATAAAGGTTAGTATTTGACAATGGATAAAGATTGGTATACCTTCCCTTCCTCGGGGCTTTGTTGACATAAATTGTGAACGTCGTCTTCTCTTACTAATTTTCCAGGCCAGGAAGTCAGTCCTTTGATTTGGCCCCAGACCAAGTCGCCAACATTGAACGTCCTTGGCCTATAATGTATCAACTCGTTTGAAGAGGGGGAGTCTGGATTCCGTAGGTCATCTTCACTACTAATGCTTTTAGCATCTGAAGGGCTAGGCACACACCCATTAATGCTTTTGGCATTAAAGTCTCCATTGTAATGGATGCAGTCTTTGACCAGAGAACTTTCCAAACTGTTTGAGGAGCTTGGAGACTGCTCCTCTAGGATCAGGTCTTGCTTGGTGGTGCTCAGCAACTCTCCAAAGCCACGACTCTGCCGCGGTCTGTTCCCATTAATGTGTGTACATCTCTCCACAGTGTTCTCTAGCCTCTCCTTAAAACTCATCATAGTTCTTTTGTAGTTATTATACCTGAAGTTCTCCTCTAGAATTTTATTCCCTTGACAGTTTCTTGGTGGTAACAGTATTGGGTGCTGCTCCCCAGGCAGAAATGGCAGTGTAGAGATGTTGTTGGCCCTCTCGTGACAAGGACTACTGTGAACATGGCCTGCATGATCTAAAAAGTCCTCACACTTCCACCTGTTGCGCTCCCCTCCAGGGCTTTGCTCCCCATCCCACTGTTTTTTAGATGCATGGCAACTTGCTGACTTGAAATATTCAAACCCATCTCCTTCGTTTGAGTTTTTTCCCTGGTCCAGGCTCCTAGGCAGCCGTGCCCCTCTGGCACTCCTCGGCCTCCCGTCATGATCGACAGTGCCCATGTTCCGTCCGTGAATGACCGCGCTGACAGCACTGGGGAGACTTAACGGGTCACCGATGGAAGCAGTGAAGGCACTCATGGCACTCAGAGCTGGAATGGGGCTGATCTGGGTCGTGTTGTTGACGGCGGTGGTGATGACAACCTGCATTCCTTTGCTGGCTGCATCAACAACTGCCTTGTAAATGGCATCTACCGAGGCGTCACCTTGGCCACCCACAACGAGGCCGTCCTTCACCTGCTGACCCAGAGGTGGGTCCATCCTGGGCTGCAGATCACAAGATGTATCTTGGAAAGGTGGGAGTGCGGTGTTCGGATTCTCAGGGAGTGCTGTGAGCCCTGGCTGAGTGCTTATTCTTTTGTTGAGGAGCGCTGCATCTTCCTGCATTCTCACCTTAAGGACACAGGAAGCAGTGAAGGAGAGAGAGAGAAAAAATTAAAGACCTCAGAGAGAAAGACATAATTTTAAGATCTACCAAAAGACACACAGGTATGACAAGGAAGGAAAGGTAAAGAAAAAAAAAGATTCAAAAATAAAATAAAAAGCCACTCTACAGAAAAGCTTGTGCGTCCATTATATTTAGGTACTTTTTCTTTGGTTAAGAATCATTCAACAGATTAAAAAAAATCACTAAATATTCTCTAGAAAAGTTAAAGTTGAGGATGTTGGACCCAGAGTGTTTTAAGGTGATGACTCCCAGTATTTTGCATCCTTACAGGTTTTGCAACTTGGGAGTCAGCCACCAATACCGCTCAAATTACAAAAAGAACCGATTTTGAAAATGATTTCTACTGAATTAAGTGAAATGTATACAACATAAAACAAAACAAACATATACTCCTTTCTTTACGATAAGATATTTCTGATGTAACACCGAATTTTGAGTCTTCAGGTAGGGCCATAACATCTACTTTTCACCCTTACCCGGCCACAGCTGAGGGACACCCCCTCGGTGTCCTCCGTGACACAGGCTTCCTAAGGAAGCGATTCTCGGTGGAGAAGTGGTGAAGGGAGGGAATGCCCACCAGGGAAGAATATCAAATCTCAGGATGGGAAGGATGAGTGCGGTTTGAACATGTCCCCAAGGTTATTCTAAGTTCACCAACCCCATCACCAAGAACTGCTGCTCCAGACCTCTGATACTTGATGTTTTCCCTTCGGTGGTGACTCCCTTCCTGTTTTCCTATCCTTCCCCACTAAACCAAGACCTGGGACACACCAGCACATCAGTCACTCTCTTGCCATTCACCTCTTCTCTACACCTACCACAGAGAACCCCAGTCCTGAATCAATTCAACTGCCTGCTTCATCTACATCTGCAGTGAGGATGCTGAGTATCTGACTGCCAATCCAGCTGGCAGCTTATTGTTTCCACCAATCCTACGATCCTCCAGTGAGGTAGCACTCTCCTTCACCACTGTTCAAATCTTTACCCACTTCCACAAGCCAGCGGCTATCCCATCTCCTGCACTGTTCTTAGAAGGTGGCCTTACTTAACACAGAAAGTGGAGTTTGCAGGTTAAGAATTCTCTTAAGTCTTACACTCTGTCCTCCCTGCCTTCTGGCTGCACATCCTTCTCTGCAACTATGTGTGTCCCAAATCCTGTCCAGTTTCCCAGGGTAAGAGGGGCCCCTTCTGCTCTCCGAGAGTAAGTTCTCTGTTTACGCTTTGGATCCCAAGGCCCTGCTCAGGGATCTTGCCTTGTCTATTATTCCTTCCCTTCTTCATGTTCTATCTCTTCCACTTTATTAAAATTGAATTTATTGCAGTGACACTGGTTAGTAAAATTATATAAGGTTTCATGTGTGCAATTCTATAATACATCACCTGTATATTGTATTGTGTGTTATCACCCAAGGACATTTATTCTCTCTTTACCCTCTTCCACCAACCCCCAGCCTCTGCCCCTCTGGTAACCACCATCTCTTCCACTTTTTTTGCCTCTTTCCTTTAGCACACAGCTATGTGCATGGTGTTCCTATTTTAAAAATTGGCATTCAACCTGTGTCTGCTTTGGGGCATTACCCTGTTTTTCTTATGTTCTTCGTGGTTAAATTTTCAAAAGTGTTTATTTCACTCTTTGATTCCTAATCTTTTCAATCCTTTCATCCATTGCAGTCTGGCTCTTGCTCCCACTACTCCATCAGAACTGCATTCCACCAAGTCACAGGTCATATTCTCACTGCTGAATCAAACAGTGTCTCTTCAGGCTTTATCCACTTATTTTCTCAGTGACATGGTTAAGCACTTCCTCTTCTTTCCTAAATTATATGTCTATGAATATATTCTCATTGTCAAAAACAAAAGTTTTCTTCACCATTGCAACCCACCTAAACCTGGACTTTCCCATCCTACTCCAACCCCATTTCCTTGCAGACACTTGTTTTTAATTCATTAAAATGTATAGGTGAATATCTCATCTTCCTTCTCTTTCCTTCCCTTTTCCTCTCTCACTCCCTCCCTTCTTTTGTTCTTTGTATCTTTCCCATAAATGGCATTGTATTTCAGTTTTCTTCTATAATACTACAGTACTGGAGTCTCACAATCTTGTGGATCTTTTCACATCAGATTATATAAGTCTAGCTAATTGTTCAAACCACTAGGTAGATGAATCTACCACAGCATATTTGACTATGCCCCTACTGATGGACACTTAAGTAGTTGTAACGAACATTCTGAATTGTGCCCTTTTGTTCACATATGAAGACTTCTCTAGAATAGATACATAGAAGTTAAATTTCTGGGTCAAAGACATGTATATTTAAAAACCTGATAAACGATCAAAAGGACTGAATCAGCATATAATCAGACCAAGAATAAATCTCAAAGACTTCATTATCTCATACCACTGTCAACAAGGTATCATCAATCCAATGACATATTAGTGTTGTGATTTACATAATGCTGATTATTCTTTTCATGTTTATTAGTAGTTTATCTTCAAAGATAAAGATTTTAAATGTGTATGTATTTAATTATATAACTTTTAAAAAACTACTTGGTTTTGTGTCTTGCTGAAAGAGTCTTCTCTATCCCAAGATTATTGTTTTATTTTTTAAGGTTTTATTTATTTATTTTTAGAGAAAGAGGAAGGGAGGGAGAAAGAGAGGGAGAGGAACATCAGTGTGTGGTTGCCTCTTGCATACGTCCAACTGGGGACCTGGCCTGCAACCTAGGCACATGCCCTGACTGGGAATCAAACTCTGACCTTTCAGTTTACAGGACAATGCCCAACCCACTGAGCTACACCTGCCAGGGCCCGAGACGATTTTGAAAAATTCTGTATTTTCTTCTTATATTTATTTAGTGTTACTCTTTGCATCTAGCTCTTAAATCTATCAGGGATTTATCCAGTTTGTCTAACTAAAGGAAGACCAGGTGGCCAAAACCAGGAAGACAGCAGTAAGAGCTGGGGCTGGAGAGTGAGGTAGGCATGTTAAGGCTGTGGATTTTAAGCATGAGAGCAATCGGATTAAACCCTCTGAAGGGTTTGGGAGGGTGCCAAGATCAGTTTTTACTAACCACTCCAAAAGAACCACTGACATGCTTCAGACAAAATAAAATAAGCTTCACACGAAAGACCAGATCTAATGTTTAACATTCATTCCTGAGAAAAGACAGTGAGTAGAAGTGGTGGAAGGGCATGTAACTTCCATCTTTTGTCTCTTCCCCCAAAGTAAGTGTTTCCAAAATTCAGACACTGTTCTGCACTAAAGTGACCCAGGGAAGGCGAGTACCTGGAAGTTCTGAAACAGACAAGCCATGGGGTTACTGTTAGCTGGGCAAGGGATTGCGGGCTGTCCTTGAAATGCCTGGAGATTCTGGGAGCCCTGAAGAAGCTGCTGCTGCTGCTGATTTGGAGGAAACATCTGATTGTTGTTTAACAGCGACTGTAGATGAGTCAGTTGATGGTTATTCAAAGTATTGTTTATTGAGGACATGTCACCTATAGTTTGAAAAACATAAAACATAAGTCAATGTGATTCTTTGGCAATCTTATGCCTACCTTTGTGCCTGACAATTCCTAAAACAAAAACTAAAAACTAGACTGACATGATAATTTTCCCTTTTTCTTCTCAAAGTCTTATTATTATTAGGTGGTGAGGAAAGAGTATTTTATTATTTAATTTTATCTTTCATGATTAGTTTTTTTTTTAAATTTTCTATTACGGAGAAACTAGTCTTTGCTTTATACACTAACCAGGCCTTATATTCAGTTTAGGTGTTAAACAATTCTTTGAAACTATTTTTATTAAAGTGCCTACAATTAAAGGTAGAAATTAGTCCTACACTGTTTTAGCAATCACAGGAATTTGACCAGATGATTAAAATGAGTGGCTCTGATCAGGCCTTACTTATAAAATTTAGCTCTCAAATCACAATCATCTGCAATTACCACCAAATAAAATTAGATTTGGTCTGGAAATATGTATTTTATTTTAAGTAAAAGGTTGTCTAAAAATTAAAATTGTAAAGAAAGCTAGCAATACAAAAGACATCACTGTCACAATCATTAAAAATAAATATTAGACGATCAGGTAGGACTAGTTAATAACTAAATTTATATTCAAAATTGATAATAGACTTGTTTTGAAATTACACTGAAGTTATTTTGAGGATGATGCCATAGAAATTGTCCTGTAATTTGAAATATATACATCTGTTATGCTCTTAGGTTATTTACCTCCATTGATTTCAATGTCAAAGAGAACTAATGAAACTGTTATAAAGGTGTCCATAAATCTGGAAATGCATGTATTTGTATATATAAATATAAATGTATAAAAACATGTATGTTTACATACAATGAACCTGAAAGTATCGAGTACGTCTGTCCCTGCTTCCAGACTTATGGGAACCATCTCTGTTTAGTATAGTTACCTGCATCAAGCAGTTGAATATACTTGACATTATTTTCTAACATTTTTGTGGTAGTATAATCTACAGGAAGGATTCTGTTTGTAAGCCACAGAATTCCAAATACTACTACTGTCTGAGGAAATCTGGCAGTAACTATTGGGGCTGTTTCCTTGAACTTGGGCAAACTTTAATTTTGAATGTTTGTATGCCTTGTTTCTTATTTGGCTGGATAAGTATTTAGTTCTGTTTATTTAGGGGTCACCTGGAAAAACACTTCCTCAAACTGTTTCCATCCACAGTGCAGCTGCTCATACTAACCCTGTGATGCCACACCAACTAAAATTCAAAGAAAAGTTATTTTTAAGATGTACCTGTGCTTTATTATTTGAAAAATAAAACTCTACTTGGCTTAAAAGACTGACAAACAGGTTAGGTTTAAGTGGCATCAGAATTAGAAGATGAGAAAGCAAATTAAAATATTTAGCATTGCTAAAACAGGGGAAAAGGAAAAAGTCACTTTCATGTTTGTATAACTCTGGTTGTGTGCGGGTGTTATTGTATTTAGTTCCTTAAGCAAGCTGTGACATAACAAAAACATTTTTAAAAATAGTGTGACAAAATGGAGTTTTTAAAAAGGAGAAAATAGAATTAGAAAAACGTTTCTTTTGTAAAAATTTGTGAAAAAATTTAACTTACCAAGCAAACCTGTCCCCAGTAGAGGGTTAAGTAGCTGTGGCACCACAGAGTTACTGTTGAGTTTAGCTGGACCAGGTGTGTTCCCAGCATTATTAGATATATTCAGCAATGTTTCTGCCATTGACACCACTGCTGTCCCACCAAGTGTTGAGACAGTCAGTGCTGCCACTGCTGATGATGTAGTGGTTGTGGTAGTGGTTGCCTGGGAGGAAGTTGCTATGGAAACCTCTGGATGATTAGCGGTGTTGGCCGATGCCGAGTTCAGGACACCTCCCAACAGCTGGGGATTCAAGGCCATTAATCCTGAGGCCCCAGTGACAGCTGGGAGGAACAGGGGGTTAAAAGCAGTGTCACTGCCTGCAAAGCTTGGTAAAGGGTTCCCCAGGGGGCTGGTTAAAAGGGTCTCAGCTTGGCTGTTCTCTGACTGATTGCTTGGCAAATGGTCTGGTGGGGCTGTCATCTGTGTTAATGAGGGGAAAGGGGTATTTTGCTGTTGAAAAAGATCTGAGATGGTCAGATTGAAAGATGGCAGGGGAAGCATGGCAGCTGCGTGGGCTTGGTTCTGAAGCAGGGCTGCTAAGAGCTGAAAGTGAACAGGCTGCAATACCTGCCCATCCACGTCACCGGAGAGCAAAGCTAAAGCAGCGTTTACATTCGGGTTGAGAAAACCTAAGGGGTGGAGGTTGATCTCAGACTTGCCTTCTCCTGCTGAAGGCTGGAGGATATTTAATAGATTCTGGTTTAGGAGATGCTGTTGATTCACTGGCAAAGAGATAGGTAGAGAACTGAGGAGGCTGGGGTTCAAGGGGTGTGGAAGATGGTTGTTTGAAGTGCTGTTGGATGGAAAATGAAGTGCGTGCTCCTGGCCAACAAAAGGAAAATCGCTCCCGATGGGCAGCTGGCTCTGCAGTGGGTTTCCAGCTGCAGTGGTGACTATGACGCCGTCCTGAAGAACAGATGTTGTCTTTGTGATGGCAGGGTGGCTGGTGCCGGCTATGGCAATGGAGGATGACGGTCCTGACCTGCCTGCAATGGGAAAACAGCAAAACAAGAACAGCACTTGTTAATGACGGATGTCAAGGAAGACAACCCCCTAACAATACATTGAGAAACTTTTCAATCAGTTCGTTACATGTCATCTTTACTGGTTTTAACCAGATTAATTGTGATCAAAGATGATATGCCCTCTGTTAGTGACACAAGTTTAACTTCGTACTTCCTAGTCTACTTTGAAAATACATGTATTGGAAAAGTTTAGCATATTGAGAAATAGCTGTTTCTATCAAATAGCTCATTTTTCACAGTTGGGCAAAGTGAAGATGGAGAAAGTTCTGTAGTAGTTCATTCATTCGGGTTAGACAAAAGCAGAAGTCTTCATTTTTCAAGATACATATTTTTCATTTTTAAAAAGCTTTTGATCTTTATGTGTAATACTCTTCTAGTAAGAAAAAAGGAACCAAGTAGAATATACATGAGTGTACAACAAAAATAAAAATTACCTTATTTTAACACTTTAATGTATAGTTATCCCGCCTCTCTATACACACATATATACATATACACATATACACATACCTATATACACACATATGCAGTTATGTTATATATTTTAACAAAAAGGGAATCATGCTGTTTTATAACTTTTTCATTTATCAATATAAGTATCTTTCCATGTTAACTCATTTAACTACAGAATTATTTTACTAGTATCATGTATGAATACACCATAATTTAATCAATCCACAGATGTGATATTTGGATTGTTCAGAATCTTTCACATTGTAAGCACGCTCTGGAAACATTAACTCATCTTTGTCAATATGCTTAATCCCTTACCAAGGCTCAGTTCTTCACAGTGGAATTCCAAGGACACAAGCATTTACATACACTTAAAGCTCTGAATACATACTGTCAAACTGTCCTATAGAGAAGTTGATCAATACACATTTAATTTACATTTCTACAAATAGTGTATGGCATTGGTCATTCTCATCAACACTGTATTTCACTATTTTTAAATCTTTGCTACTCTGACAGGATAAAGGTGCTTTTTTTGTATTCGTGATTTCTTAAATCAGACCAGTCTTCACCCAAAAGGCATTTTTAGTCCCGAAAGTCTTATTTATGCATGAGATGAAAAATCTGGGAATTTACTATTTAATAGTTGTTATTATAATTTGGATATTATAATTGTTCTGATTGCTCTCAATCCAAGCTGCACACTAGCATTACCTGGATAACTTGAAAAGAAAATAGCAATGCTGAGGCCCTATCCAGACCAGGTGGAAGCGCATCCTGGGTGCAGCTCCCTGCGCAGCAGAGTTCTCTGAAATCACCCTGGTGCCTCAGATGCACAGGGGGTGGGGTGAGGAGGGTGAGAATCACATTCTGTTGAAAAGCAACCTATAATCATTTTCTCATAAAAGCTTTCCCCCTAAAGAGATGCATTGTTTCAACATAATACATGCATTTGGCAAATAGTTATTGTTACAAGCATATGCATTTAATTTTATATTAAAATATAAACATGTATATGGTATAATGAACAATAGCAGTGTTACTGAAAATCTAAAATAACTCAGACATTTTAGTGCTCTTCTATGTCATCATAAGAAGTTTTACATTTGACCAGGTCACCACTGAGGCATTGTCCAAATACACAGAAATGTTTCCACAGTTATAAGAGTAGTACAAATATAATTTTATATTCTTCTTGTTTTCTCATAACAAAATAACACAATAATTTTTCCTTTTTGATATATAGACTCTATATTAATATATTCGGCCATGTAGCGTATGGATTGATCATATTATTCTGATAAAGTCTGGCATTTGTATTTTGATTTTTTCACCATTATATTTAACACAGGGATGAACATCTTATTGCATATATGATACTTTCCTACCTTTAAACTTTTCCTAAGGAAAACTTATTATGAGAATCAAAAAATAAACAAGTGAAGGCTTTGTAAAAGTCTATACAAACAAAAGGAGTTATCATCACCATTACTGACGACACTGGCAGATGTCACTGTAGCAGTTAGCACAGATGAACACGCCCAACACACCTCACAGCCTGTGTCGGTAGCACAACTCTGAAACTTTTCCCAGCTGTCATGCCTGCTTTTTAAAAAGCTCCCAGTGTTTCATTTAAAGAATGAGATTTAAAAACACCTTCTATTTGAAAATATATAAATATTTATAGAATATTATCATGAAATAATAACTATGTTCACAAAGAGTCGGGTAATAACTTATCAAATGATGAAGCAGGCATGTGGTATATAATTCTTTAAGTATTAATTCCAACTTATAATAAAACAATCAACATCTTCAACATTTCATTGCCTCTTAAATCTCACTGCTATTTTGGCAAATAGGTACTGTGCTTTATTTGCATTTGGAAACTGTATTTTTAAACAAGTGAATAAAAAATTTCTTATTTACTGGTAATCACTATCTGAGGCCTCTCCCCTATCTGCTAAGTAAAAATGACATGTTTAAATGCACAGATCACCACCCTTCTGTTCGCAGAGCACATTTTCAAAGTACCCCGGCATGCACGGGGCAAGGCTTTGTAGAAGGAGGATTTCCATAGAGGTTATTTTTTAAATCTTTGTAAGAAAAGCATCCTTATTTAAGATTCAAGAAAGTAGCCATTTGGGGACATTATTCTAAAAGTGTTCTACCTAAATATTCTTGAGGAATGACAATAACAAGAATCCAGTTACTCTGGGTGTCTTTTTGCATTGCAAACGAGGAGGTGGTGAACAGCACAAGCTTCCTAAGAGTAATATGTAGAACAAGTTCTATTTTTATCTCCTCTATTTTTCAACAAATCAGTTGGACAAACAGGTATACTGTGCTGGATAAAAGTGTAGACATGATCGTACAAAAGCAAGCACCAAACAAAACCACCACACAACACCCTGCTCCTTCCTACAGGAACTCTGTTCAGGCAAAGTCCGGAGCACACAGACCTCCCTGTCCCTCTTTTTCTTCTCTCAAATACACAATTATTGAGAGCTTAGTATGAATGAGGAAATCATGCTCTTTTCAGAGCTAGTGCCATTGTAATAGCTAAGAGCTGTAATAGGTGTATAACAGGAAGGCAACTGTAAAACTGAAAGTGTCTGGGAAAACCAAGCAAGTGGTAAAATTTGATCTGGGATTTGAGAGTGGAAAAGGAGAAAGAAATTGCCTTAAAGTAAAAGTGAAGTATTAAAAAAAAAAGACAAGGAGGTAATAAAATGTTATGAAGGATAATAGATTCTTACATACTCTTGAAATGAATAAATATGCCTGAAAATATCATATGCTGCTTTTCCAGACACTGTCCCTCCCACCCACGGTTAAATGTGCTGCCTTAGACAAAGAGGTGATGAAGTTTGAAAGCATCTTTCTAACCCATTAAAGGCAAGGACCACTTATTTCCCTCTGTATTTCCAAGACCTAACACAGTTGGTCACACATGGTTGGCATTCCTGGTTGAATTAATCTAAGGAGGAGTTCATAAAACTGGAACATGTTTTCTGGAAATCAGATCATCTGCATTTGATGCTGTGTGTGTGGCATGTGTGCATGTGCACGGAGGGAGGGAATACCACTCACTGGTGGAGAAAGTAACTGCCTCTCCAGTATTCTGGTCCAAGGCCAGGAGATGAAGGCTGGGAAAGAGATGGATGGAAGATATTAAGTTACTTTAGAAGGCTCCCAGGTGCTCCTGGGAGTTAAAGTCACCTTATGGAGGAAGAGGGTCACCACAAAGCTCTCAGTTCTTAAGGTCACACATTAACGCTTTGGGTCATTCTGAGGACCCTGAATTTTTATAGCTGGAAAGAAATCAAAAGTTGCTTATTTCGGAATCATTTAATCTTGAATAAGCACTCCTTGGTGATCCTTGGTGAACCTACTTCATAGTTCTACATAAAAGCCTTGTGGTCTATTGAGGCATTCGGGGCAAAATGCTTTTTCTTCTTTCCTTTTTTCTTTCTTTTTCTCTTCTCTTTTCCCTTCCTGCCTTCCTTCCATCCTGCCTACCCCCCTGCCTTGACCTTGTTAGGCAGCCAAGATGTTTCATGCTTAATGTAATGAAAGGAACAGTTAGAGCTTTTGAAAAGGCAAACTATTCATTAACCATTTAGCAGAAAGAATGAAAAGGCAGTTGGGAGCCTGAAAAATGTAAGTTGGATAAGTCCTTTAATTGGAAAAAGTGATTATTTCATACCACCACAAACTGGCACAATTTCTTCTTCTCATCATCTCTGTTGCTCTTAAAGACGCAGAAGGCTCGAAAGCCACCCAAAGAAACTATCCCCGTGCGAGACCATGTGCCTGGACCCCCAGCCGGACACTGGGTCTAGTACAGTGGGGAGAGGACTTGCCACGAGGGGACATTTCCAGATACAAACAATATTCTACATGTACACATATAATTGATAATGTGTATTTGCCAGTGTATAATGAATAGCATCAGTAAAATTTTTTGAAGAATTTTTATGCTATTTTTCCTGCTACTAATACTATTTTCATTCTTGAGAAGTTGATTCTTATTTAAAAAATGCTTTTCAAAACAAAGGTAATGTCTACCTCTTTAGATTTATGCATCTTCTTCATCACTGACATTCTTGGAGGAAAGTCAGTGTTCGCACTATGCTAAACTCCTTTCAAGCTGGATCTGAAGTGTCAATGACATTGTCAGACGTATCTGTGTATGTGTGCAAAAGAGGACATGAAGCTCACATGGAACAGACCAGTAAGTTGTTTTTGAACTGTCACTATACCATTTTAATCTGTATCTCCAATTTTGAATAAATAGTACTTTGTGTTAAAAAACATTTTTCTAAACTGATACGTGCAAATACTGAGTTTTGTCCATACAATTCAAGAAGTGAGTCATACAGAAGGAATGCCTGTACTGTCTAACTTTTGTCATTAGCTTTGGCAAGTGTACTTGAACTGCAAATAGTTAACAGTGATCTCTAATCAAAATGAATGCTTCTAGATACAAGAGAAAATATCACCCC